CAGAAAAACATCTACTTCTGCTTCATTGACTACGCAAAAGCCTTTGACTATGTGGACCACAGCAAACTATGGCAAGTTCTTAAAGAAATGGGAGTGCCTGACCACCTTATCTGTCTCCTGAGAAATCTATACGTGGGACAGGAAACAACAGTTAGAACTGGATATGAAACAACTGATTGGTTCAAAATTTGGGAAGGAGTACGACATATTGTCTTCCTGCTTATTTAACTTATATGCAGAATACATCATCCCAAAACGGAATTAAGATTGCCGGAAGAAATATCAACAACCTCAGATATGCAGATGATACCACTCTGATGGCAGAAATTGAGGAGGAATTAAAGAACCTCTGAATGAGGGTGAAAGAGGAGAGCGCAAAAAATGGTCTGAAGTTCAACATCCAAAAAACTAAGATCATGGCCACTGGTCTCATCACCACCTGGCAAATAGAAGGAGGCAGTGACAGATTTTACTTTCTTGGGCTCCATGATCACTGCAGATGGCGACAGCCGCCACGAAATTGAAAAAGTCTGCTTCTTGGGAGGAAAGCAATGACAAACCTAGACAGCATCTTAAAAAGCAGAGACATCACCTTGCCGATAAAGGTCCGCATAGTCAAAGCTATGGTTTTTCCAGTAGCAACGCATGGAAGTGAAAGCTGGACCATAAAGAAGGCTGACCGCCAAAGAATTGATGCTTTTGAATTGTGGTGCTGGAGGAGACTCTTGAGAGTCCCCTGGACTGCAAGGAGATCAAACCTATCCATATTGAAGGAAATCAACCCTGAGTGCTCACTGGAAGGACAGATTCTGAAGCTTAGGCTCCAATACTTTGGCCATTTCATGAGAAGTGAAGACTCCCTGGAAAAGACCCTGATGTAATCGAAGCTACCAACATGAATTTGACCAAATTCCGTGAGGCAGTAGAAGACAGGAGGGCTCTGGTCCATGGGGTCGCGAAGAGTCAGACATGGCTTAATGACTAAACAACAACATGCCTTACCACTTTGAATGTGGTCTTGGTGTTGCTTTTGTTTACTGTTTCTTAAATAGGTATTTGTTTGATCCTCTTTCGTATTTGTATACTTAATGTTTTTAGCTTTAAATATTGTCTTTTAATGATGTAAAGCTGCATTGGGTCCTTTTAAAGGAGAACAGAGGGGTAAAAATGAATGAATAAGTGGGTTTTGAAAGTGAATAATTTTGTCTGGATTTGCTAATAATTCTGAAATGACCACTTGTTTTACCCTGTTCCTATGCTGTGGGACTCAGCTCTGTTGCTTGAGTTATTTGATGATATCAGCATTACAGGGATCTTCAACATGTAACCTCCTAATCATGGATTGCTGCTTAAAAGACTTCTTTTAGTTGGCTCGCTCACAACCCCTTAAGTTTGTGTAAAAAGTATTATTGTTCTATCATTTTTAAGGATGATTTTTCTTTATTCTGTGGTTTTTGTAGTTGTTTCCTGGATGGAAATTCTTAAGTGTGTTGATTTAATCAGCACAACTCAAGAAATTCAAACACACTCTTCCACCACCCCCAGGCCATGGCATTTTAATGTTTTCACTGTGATAATCAACGTCTAACTCAGATGCAGGAATTATGGACAAAAGGGAAGCTGACTTCCAAAACACGCTGCTGGGCCCAAGGCATGGATGGATGGCGTCCACTGCAGGTTATCCCTCAGCTGAAGTGGTGTCTGCTTGCCACAGGACAGGCTGTGCTGAATGAGACAGATCTGGCTACACTTATTCTCAACATGCTGGTTACCATGTGTAGCTATTTTCCTAGTAGGTAAGGATTATTGATTCCTATTAGTTGATATTCTCTCTAGTGGAATGACTTTGTCTACAATTGTAAATAGATTCACTTGTTTATATAAAAGTTTACAAAAAGCTTTTCATAGTATCTCCTTGGGAAAATGAGGTCATCTTCTGAAAGTGAAGGTGAGATGGGATGATAGAATCAGAATCCAAATTAAGGATGCCAGTATCTGTAATGCTGACCTTGGGGTAACAGTTTATACAGTTAGAAAAATTAACACTAGAATAAAGTGGAAAATTGCATGTGAAAACACATTCTGAATTGTAATGCCTGTGGAACAAAAGTTTTCATCCAGATGATCATATAGTATACATTGATTAGGAAAATACTTATTTTCTAGAGATCAGGACAATGCCATTATACGACCTTTACCCAGAGTGAAGAGGCTCCTTTCAGACAGCACTTGCCTTCCCCATATCATTCAGGTTAGTTGATCTTCTGTCTTACCTCTGAGAAATAGCTTTCCTTTGCTCTCCTCATGTTCTGTGTGTTTTTTTAATCTTGAAAAAATGCAGCTTGAGTGGGAGGGTGGTAACATAATTTGAAATACAATATAACTATTAGTTGTTTCATTTTTTGTTTCTTTGTTTTTTTATTTGCATTGCAGTTGTTGCTGACTTTTGACCCCATTCTTGTTGAGAAAGTTGCTATATTGCTTTTCTACATCATGCAAGATAACCCACAATTACCTCGCCTTTATTTGAGTGGAGTTTTCTTCTTCATTATGATGTACACTGGTTCCAATGTACTTCCTGTTGCCAGGTGAAAACAAAAAGAATGTTCAGTATCTGTATAATGTATTCATTTACTTACTCTTAACACCTCCACAGGGACATGGTGGCACTGCGGGTTAAACTGCAGAAGCCTCTGTGCTGCAGGATCGGAACACCAGCAGTCGTAAGATCAAAATCCATGCGATGGAGTGAGCTCCCTTCGCTTGTCCCAGCTTCTGACAACCTAGCACTTAGAAAACATGCAAATGCGAGTAGATAAGTAGGTAGCACCACAGTGGGAGGATAACGGTGTTCCATGTCTAGTCACGCTGGCCACCTGACCATGGAAACCGTCTACGGACAAACGCTGGCTCTACAGCTTGGAAACGGGGATGAGCAGCACCCCCTAGAGTTGGACACGACTGGACTAAATGTCAAGGGGAACCTTTACCTAACACTAGCTAAGGACATAAGCTATTATGTGGCATTTTATTCCTGAGGCATTTTGTTTTAAACATCTTACCTAAGGAGTCCTGTAAAGAACCTGGGCTGTACTTTGTTTGTGTGCTGGCAGGGGTGCTCAGGAGGTATGTGAGACTAGATTTGCTTTGTCAGGGAGTCTTTCAGTTTTACAAGTACTTTCAACTGTTTGCAGAGCAGAGCTTATGCCTTTGAACTATGAACATCTTAATTATTACTAAATTACCTTTTAGGTTTCTGAAATACACACATTCAAAACAAGCTTTCAAATCTGAGGAGGTAAGGAACAATTGCTAGTATAAAATAAACTTGTGATATTTTTGCAGATGAATTGAGCTTGTATTAGGAATTAGTATTAGGAATTAGTTTTAAGCATTTTAAATTAAGATGCCTTTTTGTTGTATTTTATCCGCTTGAATAGATGTATGTATGCATGCATGCATGTATTTATGTATTTATTTATTTAGTTCATTTATATACTACCCATCTAACCAGAGGCCAATTTAGGTGGGACTGATTACAGGGAACATATAACTCCCCTGTTACAGCAACTCCACTGGCTGTCGATCTGTTTCTGGGCACAATTCAAAATTCTGGTTTTAATCTATAAAGCCCTACACAGCTTGGGTCCAAGCTATCTAGAAGACTGCATCTCCTTCTATGAGCCTGCTCAGGCTTTAAGATCATCAGGGGAGGTCTTTCTCTTGATCCCGCCACCCTCACAGATGCACTTGGTGGGGACAAGGGAGAGGGCCTTCTCTGTTGTTGCTTCCAGTCTCTGGAACTCCCTTCCACAGGAAGCTAGGATGGCCCCATCTTTGCTGTCCTTCCAGAAGCAGGAAAAGACCTTTCTCTTCAGGCAGGCTTTTCCTCAATAACTGGTGGTCTGAGAGGGGTTTTTACATGGACTGTTGCACTCTATTGTTTTAAATGTGTTTTAGTATTGATTTTATTTACTGTTTTTAGTATAATGTTTGATTCTTTTTCAGTACCGTATTTTTCAGTCCATAAGACGCACCTGACCATAAGACGCACCTAATTTTTAAATACCAAAAAATAAATAAACATGTGTACGTCTTATGGAGCAAATACTGTCCCCTGGCCACCATTGCTGCCTTCCCAGGCCTCTGGAGGCCTGGGAAGGTAGCGATGGTGGTGGTGGGACCCCCAGGGTGCCATCTGAGGCTTCCGGAGGCTGCAGAAGGCAGCGATGGTGGCGGGGGGGGGGACAGTATTTGCTCCATAAGACGCACACACTTCCCCCCCCCACTTTTGGGGGGGAAGTGTGTCTTATGGAGCGAAAAATATGGTATTTGTATTCTTACTGTTTTTAGCTTTTAAATATTGTCTTTTTAACTATGTAAGCCGCCTTGTGTCCTTTCTATGGAGAAAGGCAAGATATGAATGAATAATTGTTGATCCTGAGAGGAATATCTGCTAGAATAACTGTTTTAGAAAATTCTTTAAGTTGATGACAGTTGTGTAATTTGACAAAATTGAGTTGGATCCATATTTAATTTTACTTTGATTGCTCAATTGAAACTATAAGTGAGTCCTTATCGAAATCCCATTGATTTTGATGAATCAACCTCCAGTTTCATATCATTAGAAAAACCATAGTGTTGCCAACAACTCAGAGGGTACTAAACATTAAACTGTCTCTAGCGGTAGATATTTGTGCTGGGCCTACAGTCTTTTTGGCTGAGGAACAGGATAAAATGTGCTAAACTCCAAATAACTGATCGTATGTTCATTTGTATTTGACTAAATCCCACAGAACTTACTTAAGAGTTCAGTGGTGTGTGATTGCACTGTAATATTGGGTTGCAGAATTTATATCTTAGCTTTCAAAAAAGAAATAACATTTTTATATACATACACTGGCTCCCTTAATGTACACATAATTATGATTGGAACAATTCTTTTCTTTTCTTTTCTTTAAGACAAAAGGGCAAGATATAGTGCAGAGGAGTATTCTTGGACATATCCTACCAGAAGCTATGGTGTGTTACTTGGAGAACTATGAGCCAGAAAAATTTTCTGAAATCTTTTTGGGTGAATTTGACACTCCAGAAGCAATCTGGAGCAACGAAATGAGGTAACTCATTTATACACTCTATACAAAATGGATGATGACAACAATGTTTTATTTATTATTTTCCTTCCACACTCTTAGCATGTATTCTCTATTGCAGTTTGTACTTAAATCGGTCAGATACCTGGCTTGCCACATATAACTGGATTTAATAATCTATTATCTAAATCAATATCTGGAAGGACATCAGTACTGGGTTTTTTAAAGAGTTCTTTTGCAATTCATAGGCGCCTTATGATAGAGAAGATAGCTGCTCATCTTGCTGACTTCACTCCTCGCCTTCAGAGTAATACAAGAGCACTTTACCAGTACTGTCCCATACCAATTATCAACTATCCCCAACTGGAGAATGAGATGTTCTGTAACATTTATTACCTCAGACACCTTTGTGATAAGCATCGGTTTCCTGATTGGCCCATCAAAGATCCTGTAAGTCAAACATTTTGTAGTCTTCCCAGTTTGTAACACAGCAGAATTGAGGTGGGAAAAGAAATATGCTACTAATCTTTAAAACTGATCACTTTGCTGAGATGTTGTTACTAGGCCTCATTTCATTAACAGAGTTTAAAAGATGCAATTAATCCTAAATGTTTGAGCATAATTTCTTCAGATTAGATAAAGGTAAATGTCTGAGTAATAGCAGCTCTCTTTTTTCTGTAAAGGATGCAAAATGACACTTCAGAAGAGTTTACTAGACATTTTGTATACTTAGGTTAAACTTTTGAAAGATACTTTAGAAGCTTGGAAGAAGGAGGTGGAGAAGAAGGCACCAACAATGTCCATAGATGATGCTTACGAGGTCCTCCATCTTCCAAAGGGACAAGGACAGTATGTTACTCTTTATAACCAAATTCAATATTCTAAAGCAATCTTAACTTTCCTCATATTTAATCAACTCCGATTAGCTACCAAAACTAGAAGAATAATGGTATTTCTATATGTCTTGTGGCTGGGAAGTTTGCTGTAGTAAACAACAGTGCAGTAATTCTATACAGGAGCATATATGTTGGGAACGTCCTCTCTTAAACATTTGGTTTTATGCCACTAAGCTACAGGATGGGCAGCACACAGAACTGTGTACCACAGAGAGAGGGAGTGTGTGACTTTCTTGAAGCTGTTGGGACTGCGGCTTCCTCTGTCCCTCACTATCAGCTGTGCTGGCTAGAGCTGTTGGGGAGCTGCAATGCAACAACACCAGAGAACCAGATGTTTCCTAGGTCCAGTGCTGTGTGCAGTATCCTGTTTCCAGGAATGTGGGCTGACATGTTGAGGCTGAAATCATTCACACCGGGCCTGCTGTAATGTGAAAGCACTAGAGATCTGCCATGTCTCCAGTCTCTGCTTGGAAGTACTCTCCCCATACCAGTGTATCATTACTGCTGCTGTCTCTGTTCAGCATTAAGTAAGCAGTAGACTTAAATTTTACACACGTGTATACTAATTCTTTTAAGTGAATAAGAACACCTCTAAGAGTCGACAGAAATCTTCATTTCAAAATCTCTGTTGTCAGAATTATAATATATCTTCATAATTAATGATCTGGATGCAAAGGCTTGCTATAACCAACAAGAGTATATTCTTCCCTAAATGAATGGTGGGGATATTGAAACAGTGTCTTTCTACATATAACAGGCATGATGAAAGCAAAATCAGGAAAGCTTACTTCAGGCTGGCCCAGAAATACCACCCTGACAAAAATCCAGAAGGTCGAGTAAGTGCTGTGTTTTAAATATTGTTTTGCCCTAATCCAGTGGTTGACTATGAGCACTGGGTATCCAGTGCTTCTATGGAGCTGCCCGATTTGCTTCAGTGAAGGGAGCAGATGCAGCCATTCATTTCTTTGCATGCTCTGACTGAGCAATGTAGTGTGTTCATGGACTTCAGTGGGAACAGGAATTCCTTCATATTAGGGATTTGCTAAAAGTTTCTCTTTCACCACGTAAGTATTGACCAGTTATCGGTATAAACACAATACTGTTCTGAATAGTTTGTACATACTGTTGACATTGACTGTGTATATGCTGTCTGTTGGCAGGGATGTGGCTGGGATGGGAGGAGAGATAAGAGTATGAATGTATTGCAGGACTTTGCAAAGGAACATGTGATGTGTAAATTAAAGTATTAAATCTGTCTTAAAATGAAAGTCTGTCTGAAAATAATGCAGTTGAAATGAGCTTTTATCTAAAGTACAGCTTGGTTCTTTTGCAATATTAATGAATGTGTTTTGAGATTAGATTTATGCATGTGTGTTGTTTATATGCATACATCTGCAGGATATGTTTGAAAAAGTGAACAAAGCATATGAGTTTCTGTGCACGAAGTCAGCCAAAATGGTGGATGGTCCAGATCCTGAGAATATAATTTTGATTTTGAAAGCTCAGAGTATTCTTTTCAACAGACACAGAGAAGGTAACTGTACTTAATAATGATGATGTGCTGCCAATTCAGTTCTGACTTACAGCAATCCTTTCCAGGAAGAGAGTAATCAGAAGTGGTTTGCCATTCCTTCTTCTTGGGGCATCCTGGGCCTGTGCAGCTCGCCGAAGACCACACAGGCTGGCCGCACTCGTTAAGAAGGCACGGTTGGGAATCAGACTTCCAACCTCTGGCTAAGCAGTCAGATACTGTACTCAAACCACCGAGCTATCCAGCCAGCCAACTATACTTAACAGCTGAATATATAAATTCATCATTGTATTTTAATGCAGACAGTTCTATCATACTGGAAATTGGCATGGTTAAGACAGAAATAGGCAGTTCTATGAAATGTGGTAAATGTTTTTTCCAGTAATAGAAAACAGCAATGCCAGACCTCTAAGCTTGACACATTACCTGAAGTATATCACATGAGCAAAATTGTAGATAGCTGGAAGAGCTCCGTTATATGTTCTGCAAGAGCTTTAATCTTAGGAAGCAGAGACTTAAAACCCGTTGCACAGCTCTAGATTTTGTCACAGTGCTGTTGGGAGGAGTGTAATGATACTGCAGGTGGAGTACGTTCTGCACACAGTTTTGCAATTAAAGTACTTGTATGTCATACCATTGAAAGCAACAGGGCTTCTGCATATACAGACAAGTACTGAGTAGCCCTTGGTTCAAGTGCCCAAAAACAGGGTAACTGCGTGGGCAATGCTTGGTTGTGTGCACAATTAAAGCAACAGGGCTTCTGCATATACAGACAAGTAATGAGTAGCCCTTGGTTCAGGTGCCCAAAAACAGGGTAACTGTGTGTGCAATGCGTTGTTGTGTGCACAATTAAACTAATAGGATTATGGCCACATATTTAAAAGTGTAGTTCATTGAAGGAGTTTGATGCACATACAACTCTATCTCTAAGCTTGTTCAGTGTCACCTTGTAGAGGTAGGTGGGCAGGAACTGCTGATTTGGTGATCCTGCATGGTTCATTCTTTGGATGCACAGATGTCCTGTTAGCTTCCCTCCCCTGCCTCATCTGGTGGGCACCCACTCAGAGGAAGAAGTGGGGCAAAGAACCCCAGTATGCTGCCTCTGAGTGGGCGTCCACTGGATCAGGTGGGGGAGGAAAGCCTGAGCACCTGCGGAACACCTGCGCGTCTGAAGAGCAAACTATTAGGAACCACCAAGCCAGCAGTCCATGTCCATCTGCACATGCCAGCTCATTCATATGCTCCTTGATTGTGCTTTGATAAGTAGTCATTGCCTATGACTGCTTTTGATGGTACCTTTTTTCTTTTCTGTTTGACCTGAATGGATTCATCTCACAAAATCTTGTGCTTGTTTTCAAGTATCTTAGTTAGTTAGTTAGTTCCTGCTTCCAGGCTCAGCCAGCAGTCCATGTCCATCTGCACATGCCAGCTCATTCATATGCTCCTTGATTGTGCTTTGATAAGTAGTCATTGCCTATGACTGCTTTTGATGGTACCTTTTTTCTTTTCTGTTTGACCTGAATGGATTCATCTCACAAAATCTTGTGCTTGTTTTCAAGTATCTTAGTTAGTTAGTTAGTTCCTCCTTTCAGGCTCTTTTTTTTTCTTCTTCTACTGGCCCTTTGATGTAATAGGCTATGAAATAATATAATTTGCACAGTATCTCTTGGTAGTATATCATAGCAGAACTGCTTCAAATGTGGATTTTGACTGTTTTTTCCTTCTTTCAAGATCTGAAGCCATATAAGTATGCAGGCTATCCAATGTTGATCAAGACAATCACATTGGAAACTTCTGATGACCTCTTGTTCTCCAAAGAGTCTCCCCTGTTGCCTGCTGCTACAGAGCTGGCTTTCTACACTGTCAACTGTTCAGCACTGAATGCAGAAGAACTAAGAAGAGAGAATGGGATAGAGGTAGAGCCCTACTGGGAGGGTCTCTGTGTTGTGTTTGGGAAGAGGTAGTGGGAGAGAGTGAATGAATTAATACTTTATTACGGTCAAAGACCAGTAAAACCAAATATAAAATAGATACATATAAAATAGTTTCATAAAGTCAGTCAGGGTAATAAAATTCCATTAAAATGTGATAAAACAACCCATAGTGGGAGAAAGAGCTACTTTGCATTTTTTTAAAGAATGAACTTTTATTTTCAAAATAAATAACTCTTTTTATTAGTTTGGCTAGGGAGACTAGTAAGTAAGCTTTTCCTCAGGCTTGTAGCTGTATATGTGACAGTGTCTCTGAACTGCTGTTATTGGCTATTCTGTAAGTTGCATAAACAATACTAAATATTTTATGTATTTTCCTTAAATAAGTCAAAAAACAAAACAATTATTTTATTATAAACATACAGTATATGAATGTAGTTAAACACATAACATTAATCTTGTGTTAAAAAGGTAAACTATAAAGTGTGCTTCTGAGAATTGCCATTTTAGATTATGTTAAATTTCCAGTTAGTGATGATCTGGCTAGAAATAGTGTATATACAGCATATATACAATTAGAGTACTAAATATGACTTTAAATAGTACCTAAAGATTATAGAGAAATTTTTTTGCTATAAGAGTTTCTGCTGACTATGTATTATTTATTTTTAAATCATCTCCATAGGTCTTACAGGAGGCTTTTAATCGCTGTGTTGCAGTTCTGACACGTTCTAGTAAGCCAGATGATATGTCCGTTCAGGTAAGTGTTAAAGAAATGTCATGAAGGACTTGACCCGTGGGTGCATGTAAGGTAAAATGTAAATTATTATTAACAAACCATGTTCATAAGGGTATGAAAGTTGCCGCACTCTATTATATCTAGCTAAATATTATCAGCCTGCGGACTGGCAATATTTATCATTATTTTAGGCAGGAGTCTTTCTCTGCTTTGCCTGGAAATAACAGGGATTGTATCTGGGAACCTTTGAGTGCAAAACTGGTGTTTTTCTAATCAGTCACAGCTGTTGCCTATTTTGCCATAAGCGTATTTAATGACTGTGGATGTATCCTTGTCTCTGAACGTTGGTTTTGCATCATGTGGGAATTTAAAATAACAGGCACTGGGAGCAACATTAGAAAGTTCAAAAATAATGGTTACACTATTTGACAAGAAAGCAAGAGGATAATTGCTTAAAAATTACAGTGTTGTGATCCCTTTGTGATTTTTTTTAAAGAATGTATATTTGAAGTTATCCATATAGTGTTTTTTATACACCATCCCAACTCCTTGTGGCTTCAGAAATTGTTTCTGTTTATAGGTGTGTGGACACATAAGTAAATGTTATAGTGTGGCAGCCCAGTTTGAAGACTGCAGGGAGAAAATAACTGAAATGCCAAATATCATTAAGGACCTCTGTAGGGTGTTGTATCACGGCAAGGTAAGCTCCTGCATGGCTGCTGAGTTAATACATTTTTTTATTTTTCTGTGTGTGCTGAGAAAAGGAGTGCCTCAGGGTAATAAATTTAATGGATATAACATTACATCCATATACTTTTAATTTTGAATGTTATAGAATATCCAGACAGAACCCAGTTCAAATTAGTTTTCATGTTTTTAAAGACTTATGGAAGACATTTGTTGCTTATGTTCAAAAAAGATATACCACAGAAGGGACAAAGGTTCACACCTCAGTAGTCCTTCTACCTATCCCACTATACTGTAGAATGGGGATGGTCTATTGTGTATGTTGTTGGACTTCCAGCATCACCAACAGGGAAACTGCAGCCCTACCACGTCTGGAGGGCTCCAGCTCCCCCATCCTCCTCTAGTCTGATGATAAAGTAAGCCAAAACCAAGCCTTATAGCTCATGAGGAACTTATCGTTGTTGTATTATATGATATACTGTTATCAGTACACATCCTTATCTGATGCCTACTGGACTTCAATGTATCTTATTTGTCATCCAAAGTAAATAAATGTGTTCAATCCTATGCAGAACCTTCCACGTGTGGCTTCCCTTGGAGTAGAATGTGTCAGTTCATTTGCTGTGGATTTCTGGCTGCAAACACATCTGTTTCAAGCTGGAGTCCTCTGGTATTTACTAGGCTACCTCTTTAACTATGATTATACACTGGAAGAAAGCGGTATTCAAAAGAGTGAAGATTCCAATCAGCAGGTAATCCTTGGGAATTATAATAATACTCTTAGAACTGCAGAGCTGGAAGGGACCCTATGGATCACTAAGTAGGGGCACAGCAGGGAATCGAACTCCCAGCCTCTGGCTCTGCAGCCAGAGACCTAAACCACTGAGCTGTCTTGCAGTTCATAACACCAAATTTTAAGTATGTAACGACCAACATTTCTGAGGGGATCTTAGGAACTTGAATTAAGTTCCTTAGATTCAAACACACTCTTTAATGTGCTCTGTTTTCTCAATTTTGGAAGGCTGTAGTGGCACCACCATCCTGAGCCCACACAGGGCCATACCCCACCTCCTGTAACTGTTGAATTTGCTGCTGTGTTGACAAAAAGGCAGCATTCTACCTTTACAAATAGTGCATTCCCCCCTCTGCAATAAGTGTCACACTCTCCTTGTGCCTTGTTTACAAGCAGATCTGTGCTTTTGAGACCATGAACCTACTTGTAAACAAGGCAGATAGGGAGTGTACATCTTCTCTTAAGGGAAACTCCTGCTTTTAGAATTAACTACAGCTTTTTTGCTGCCACCACGATGGCAAATTAAGCTAGTGGTTGCTCCTTCATATCATTACCTCATCTTCATGTAAATGTTTCTGCAGCATATTAGACAAATGACTGATATTCCCCAAGGACTCTTTCTCCTTAAGCTCTGCTTATGAGTACTGTTTATTTAATTTTGATTGGTTCTGCTATAAACGTAGCAACATTTCAGAACCAAGGAATGCATCTTCTGAGGAGACAAACCCCTTCTGAAATTTCAGTAGTGTACAGACTTCCCCTTGAACTAGGAGGAAGGGAGAAACTTGGTTTGGAGACTTATCTGTCAAAAACAAGAAAAACTCCAGATTGTCCCAATTTTCCTTTCTCAAGGTCAGTTGTATGGGCTCATAGACATGACAGTTTGGATTCTTGAATTAATGAATTATAACTAAAAATAACTTACCTCTTCTCCCCTTCCCCTGAGACCTTTGGAGAGTTGGCAGATCTTTCTGAACTACCTGGGGTTGATTACAAGGAGCTGTAGTGAGAAACAGCAGTTGTTCCAAAGAGAGCAAAAGCACTTACCATAAGCTGTCTCAGATTTTGCTTAGAGTATTCCATGTGGAAGAGTCTGTGTCTGAGTTCTTCCTCCACTCAAGTAAAATAACTAAGACTAATTCACTCTTTTTTCATAACAGGAAGTAGCTAATACCCTTGCCAAGCTTAGCCTCCTTGCTTTGAGCCGGCTTGGTGGATATCTTCCTGGAGAACAAGCTACACCTGAAAACCCAACGATCAGGAAAAGCCTTGCAGGCATGCTGACCCCTTATATTGCAAGGAAACTTGCTGTGGTTAACCCCACTGAGGTATGAGAACACTCTAGTTTTCTTATTAATGGTTCCATTTTATTTAACATGGGCACATAAACAAAGTACTTAGGAGCATGTACGTTTGATATAAAGTTGTATATTGTGAGGGTTTGGCGGGAGGGTCTTGTTTCGCAATGATTTCAGGCAACACAGGCTGCAGTGAAAACTGTGGAACATTTATTTGTGTATCAAGCAATAAACAAGTGTTCTGAACTGGTGAGCATGTTTTGTCTCCTTCCTCCAATGGGTCCAGAAGGGGTTTCCAACCATCAGATGCAAAAGGGTCATTATAACTATTATTCCAAGGTCCCGGTAACTTGGGGGCGTCCACTCCTTCAGGGTCATCCCTGACGGAGCATCAAGCAAGGGCACAGCCTCGTCCTCATCGAAATCGTCCCACTGGGCACCTCTCTCCTGCTCCAAACCCTCCCAATTCGTTCTCTCTCTGCTAACCTCCTCATCTCCATGGCTCTCCATTCGATCCTCTCCTTTCCCTTTCTACCCGTTTTTTCTCCTCTCTTAACCTCCTCCTCCACTCTCTCACTTCAGCTTCTCCCCAATAAGAGGGTTGTGGTGGGATCACCGTCCTCCACCTATAAGGCCTAAAAGCCGCCTAGAGTGGTCTTTTAGGCCAGATGGGTGGGGTATAAATCAAATAAATAAATAAATAAATATAATCAGCTTCCTCTTTAGGTAGTCTCAATCTCTCCCATTTCTGTGTCCACCGGTCTTGCATCCACACCCACTCCCAAATGGGAGGTAACTGATTCTTTTCTCTCCTCACTTCCCCATCCCGGCTTCTGTCTCCTCCCTTTTCTCTCTCTTCCTTCCCACCTTTTATGATCTGTGCTCCTTTATTTCCGTCCCCCCCCCCCTCAGCTCCTCTGTGATCTCCTCTACTTCTGCCCCCTGGCGAGGCTCCTGTGTTGCTTCATTTGAGGCCGGCTGGGGTTCTCTGTCTTGGTGATGAGGAGAGATGGCTCTCTGGCGAGTGGGAGTCCCGACTCGCCTTCTGTCTCACATATATGTAGTGAAATTTCTCCACCACTAATGTATTGGGAAATAGGCCATATAAGCATCTTCTTGTTTCAGTTTAGCAGCTGACAGATTTTGGTCACAATTGCTTAAGGGCATAGATCTTTTAGAAATATCTATTCATCCTGTCATTTCTAACTTCATGTGTGTTTCTTCTGGCCAGATCCTAAGATCTACTTCACAAAATATAACAACATATCAAAATGTTGTGTAGCTTTAGTGTTCATGTGAAGCACTGGGAAGATGAATACACCTAGAGAAATGATCTGTGTTAATAACACAGTGTGTTCATGTGCATACACAACCCCCTGCAGCTGCAGACTGGAGGTCATGTTCTATAGCACCCATATTTTGAAAAAAATAATCCTGACTTAATTCGAGCTAGATTTTCTTAGAAGAAGAAATATTCCAAATATAGTTGTGTTAAAGATTAAACAAGAGGAAGTAACATAAGTGGTGCGAGAATGAGAAGGCCAGCAATCTCTTTAAAAATAATATTGAATTACACCAAAGCTAAGTAGAGATGGGATATTTTTTTGAAAAAATCTTTACTATTGTAGTAAATCTGTTCTGGCTTCATTATATCTTGCCTAGATTTTGAAAATGCTCAACAGCAACACAGAGAGCCCTTACTTGATTTGGAACAATCGCACAAGAGCTGAACTTCTTGAGTTTTTGGAATCTGAGCAGGAGAGCATGATTAAAAGAGTAAGTCACTTTTCCAGATTGCCAGGCTGGCTTATTAGTAGTATCTGAGGTGGAAATTGTGAAAAAGTGTCACGAGTCTAGCATGTGTGCACAGAATGAAGCCACAGTTATCCGAAATAGCAGCTACAGCATAGAGAAGCAGAATAGTAATAGCAACAAAGACAGATGAAATCTGCTCCTAGTTTTTTCTTTCTATATTTCTAGTCTTTTCTGAAGCAAACAAAAAATGCACTGTTTATGTTTTTTAAGTTTGTGGCTCCAGATTCTGAACCAGTATCCTGTCGAGATGTTACCACACATGGAACAGACTTGAGAAAAGGATTGCAGCTGTTTGGGGAGATGCCTGGTTGTGACAGGCCCCTTGCCAAACAGCTGAAGGTGCTTCCACACCTACACATGGTAAATGTGAGCAAGATACTTACAGGCCTCAATGTTTAAATGAAAGATCATCTTGCAGATTGTGCCACTTTTGCATTAGGTTGCTTACTTACTATGAAGCAGCAAACAACTCTTTTAATATATTATTCATTACAAAGTGGTGTCAAATCAGGATTTTTTTTCCTTCCTAAAGGGCGAGTGTGATAAAAGCTACGGATCAGAATTTGTCTACAGTGATCACGCGAAAGAACTTATTGTAGGAGAGATTTTTGTTCGAGTTTACAATGAAGTCCCTACATTCCAGCTAGAGGTGAGATTCTGTTTGTGCTACATGTGGAGACCTTTTATTTAAAATGGTTAACCAGTTTTGAGCATATGACTGTGAAGTGTGTTACAACTGAAGGTTCTTTCTGGTTTTTAAATTGAAACGTGGTGTTTCTCTTTCATCTCAGTGATCAGCATGCATCTTCAAGAGACCCATATTCACTTCTTCTTGCTTTGTTACTCTCAGTTTGCTTCTCCTTTTATTAGCAGCTAAAAAGCAGGCAAAATGTTGTTCAAACTGGGATAATCGCACACTATAAAGCTACATAGGCTGCAGTTTATTGCAGGTTCCTGTGGGAGTTATGTTCAGTAAATTTGAAAAATAGCTACTAGTCTATCCTAATAGGGCGGGTTGTTTGGATTTTAAGTATAAATAGTCTGTGATATGCTGATGGATTGTATTTAATGTAAAAAATTGCTTGCTTCTTTTTTGCCTTCCCAAAGTATTCTTCTTACATTGTATGTTTGCTATCTTATAGCTTCCAAAAGCATTTGCTGCAAGCCTTTTGGATTATATAGGTTCACAGGCACAGTATCTTCATACACTGATGGCCATGACTCAGACAGGAAAAGTTGAGTCTAACCAACATGGCGAAAGACTTCGAAGGGTTGAAATGGCTTTGGAGGCTCTGAGAAATGTAATAAAACACAACCCTGGTGAGTGAAGTATATTGGACATCTTAAACACTGCTACTGGAAAAGTTTTGGCTTTAGGTTTTTGCTACCTAGAGAGAGGAAAGATCAATTGTATGGTTTCTTATCAGAAGAACTTTGTAAATTTAATTAACATGGCTATTATTTATAACTTTAAAAAACACTGATGCCTATGCTTAAGATAGGTGTTCACTTTACTTTAGTCCACTCAAATGGTTTAAGTATAGTAATTTTTAAAAATTTTCTCTGCCTAGGATCAGAATGTGAATGCATAGGTCACTTTAAGTTAATATTCTCACTGCTGCGGGTCCATGGAGCTGGTCAAGTGCAACAGCTAGCTCTGGAGGTAAAAAACAAATAAGCAAATTAATGTATACACGGCTTATGGCAAAATAATTAGTATATTGTTCTTTGATGAAACAAGTGGTAGTCATTGTCATCATAGCCTTTGAACTGCAGAGCTGGAAGGGACTTTATGGGTCATCAAGTCAACCCCTCTCAAGGCACAGTGGGGAATTGAACTCCCCACCTCTGGCTCTGCAGGCAGAGACCTAAGCCACTGAGCTCTCCATCAGTTCATCTTCCAGTATTATATACTGTAGTAGATGCATGTGCATTATTTTACATAAATACTCTTTAGTGTTGTGTAATTTGAGAATGAAATGCTGGAAATGAAATACTGACTTCAGATTACTTTAGCCTCTGATTTGTCTTCATAGGCTGTATAAGTAAGGATTGTAAGGAATACACTTATGCAAGGCAGTAAAAACAAAATGACATACAAAGAAGCCATATACCAAGTCAGACTTCTAGTACAGTATATCTGACCCACTACTGCCTACCTGAACTGGCAGTGGCTCTCCTGGTTATTTCACACTATACAAAGAGATTCCAGGGATTTAAAAAGGGGCCTTAGAATTCAGATCAGATAAACCACTGCTGTGATATAATACCTTCCCTCAGCCTGTTGACAAATTAAGGAGTGGGAGAGGAAAAGAACCACAGCAAAATGTTGTGGCACTTCAAACACAAACAAATTTGTTTCACTGTGAACTTTAATGGACCAAAAGCCATTTCTTCAGACATAGAAGTCCTCATACGGCGTCCTTATGTGGGTATATATAAACACAGGAGACACAGTTATGAGCCTTCCATGTGTCTGAAGTGAATTTTGATTCGTAAAGGTTCATGCTAAAATAAATGTTAAATCTTTAAAGTGCCACAATATTTTTGTCTTGTTTTTCCTCATTTTTCACACATGCCGAGACAAAATAACTTGGCTGCTTTGTTAGAAATTGGTATTGCCTCTCAATGTCTTCCAAGATGTTTTAATCACCCATCTATTACATGGTTGCATTAGCAATGGCAGAATTTCCCCCTTGTCTCCTCCTGCCCTCCTTCTATTGAAAGTAAGGCCATGCAAACTCTTCACTTGCACTTGAAGATGTAGATGAATCTGATCGACTTTTGTGACATCGCACTATATATGTGAATTCTGACTGGTTGATGTAGTGGAGAAGAATCGGCTACGGAGAGGAGCAGTGAACAAAAAGGTGCAAAATTATTAGCTTGGAGGGGTGGAGTTTAGTGTACCTGTTGAGGAAGAGAAGAATGAATCTTGGCGTAAATATTTGAAGTAACTTTACTAGATGTTCATGGTAGGTACTGGAATTAGTGTGCTAGTTCATCGGGTATAGAAGGAAGAACTGAGAGAAAGGTGTTGAGTCCAGATTTTATTCCAGTCCTGTAGTTCAACATTTGGAGAGTCAATGATTCTTAATCCTTGTCCTAGTATAACAGTCAGTCCTCTTTTGAAGGAAATAAATTGACAACTAGCAGCTTTTGTAAACTTTAGCTGGCAATGCAGTTTTGATGATTTTGCATTTTCTTAACAGGTGGTGAACATTGTGACTAGTAACCAAGAATGTGTAAATAATATAGCAGAGGCCATGGTTCTTTCCAACTTACTAGCCCTCTTGCATTCACTACCTTCAAGTAAGTAGAGCATATTTAACTTATTTCCTAACTAAAAGGTTTCTTTAAAAAAGATATTTAGGAAATGTTTTGTATACCAGAACAAAACTAAACATTTCTCCACATTTACCTACAAGCTGAGCCACACAGATTTCAATAGAACTTACTCCCATGTACTTTGTGTAGGCATCTTTCAGTCTCAAGAGACTATGGTAATGTTCTCTGAATAGAGGTCTTGGAACAGCATCTAGTGTGGCTGAGAAGGCCAATTTGAGAGTGACAATCCCTTCCACACTGAAGACAGTGTCCCCTGTCCAGCTTCCTGATTTTTCTGGTTTCGGGACTGCCTCTTTGCCTTGGCCTGCTGGACAACGGTCTCTTCAGATTGGGAGAGGCCATGATGCACCGCCTGCCTCCAGGCTGTATGGTCAGATGTCAAGTACACGGTCAGATGTCAAGGTTTCCCATCTGTTGAGGTCCATTCCTAAGGCCTTCAGATTCCATTTGCAGATATCCTTGTATCTCAGTTGTGATCTCCCTCTGGGGCGATTTCCCTGCACTAATTCTCCATACAGGAGATCTTTTGGAATCCAACAGTCATTCTCACGACATGCCCAAGCTAACATAGACATCACTGTTTCAGTAATGTATACTAACAATGCTAACAATTCCAGCTCATTCCAGGACTACACTATTTCGAACTTTGTCCTGCCAGGTGATGCCAAACATGCGTTGGAGACAATGCATATGGAACGTGTTCAGCTTTCTCTCCTGCCATGCACAAAGGCTCCAGGACTTACTGCAGTACAGGATCTTGGCATATGCTATCAGCTTTTTGTTAAGCCATGTACTTGTGCATGTGAATACTGATGTTTTTCTGAGGCCTTGCCCTCTAAATTCAGATCTGTTGAGAACACTAAAATTGCTCACTGTTCAAATAAAATCACTATGCCAGTGCTCAATGGTGTCCATTTGCTCGTTAGACCTTGCTGCAGGCATTCAAACCTGCTTCAGAGCCTAAACTTGAAGGAGTCATGGGTCATTAAAATGAGGATTAAAACGGAATTATTGCCCACTTTCTTCTACCAATTTCGATTGTGTTCAAATCACCACGCATTCTTGAAGAAGCTGCTGCTTTTGTTGAATAGGAAACGCCCGCAATTCAGTATGCAGCATTAGCTTTCTTCAGGTTCCTGGTCAGAGGGTGCCATCAACTAAATGTATGGAAGGTTTTTGTTCTCCTAAATAGGTCCTTTTTATGCAATGGAAGAGAACAGCCTTATCCTGGGTTGTCGCTCCCACTCCTTTTGTATCTCAAAATACTTGAGAGCTAGGGAGAACTTCTTTACATCAATCACGTGGGACAGGTGCTGTCTTGCTAGTGAGAACAACCGAGATCTCCAGTCTGGTTCCTGCCTCAGCTTCAATAGGTTGTTGAACAAGTTCTTAATTTTTTTTTCTCTACTCTTCCTTCACAACTTTTTTAAAAGTCCTTTTTCTTGTGTTTTTTCTCTCTCTTCACTACTATGGCACAATCCTGTTGCCCATCTCTAAACAAGCCGTGCAGTGTCTTAATTTGTTCAAATTCAAATTTTATTCAAATTTTAGCCAAAGGCCATTGAAACATTGAATCAGTACACAAAACCAATGACAAATCAGCAAAACAGCATCTTCATAACCTTCATAACCGTATATAAAAAGTTCCGAAAACGCTAGAATTTAAAATATACTGGCTGTGTGTGTGTGTGTTTGTGTGTTTTACACTGTCATCCTTTAGTGACCTGAGGGGCCTTTGCTAGCCTAAATGACCTTAAATCACCATGTGCTACTCAATGGGGTCTTTATCCATTTGATTAGTTTGGCCACATTGTAAGTTGTAGTCTTACTTCTATCTTCTAGCAAGGTCTGGAGACAGCCCTTCCTGTCACCTCCATCCCTGTTAAAAAAAATTGGATTAATATAGCTTTCACGGATCTGTTCATAAATTTTACAATCCATGAGTACATGCTCCAAGGTCTCCATACTTCCTTCACTGCATATGCAGAGCCGATTCAAATAAGGAATTTTCTTATAACTGCCCTCCAAGATGGCAGAAAGCAACATGTCCATACGGATTAGCATAAACGCCCTTCTACTTTCAGAATTTTCAAGTTCGCTTACGTAAGACATTGATGTATTTCTATTGATACTGATGATATCCCTTAATGTGCTTTAACTCTATTCAGATCATGCTGCCTTTCTATGTCTAAGATCCTTTGTTTGATCAGACTTTTGGCTTGATCGTAACTCTAGACATTAGATACTGACATTAGATACTGATGTGAGAATTCATAGTGCCCCAATTTGATCTCCAACAGTTCCCTCCAAGGAATTTGTTCTCAAACAATACAATAACCTGGTTTTCACTCATGGTTTCACTAATCTTGACAGGTCGGCAGCTTGTTCTTGAAACTCTGTATGCGTTGACTTCCAGCACCAAAATAGTTAAGGAGGCCATGGCAAAAGGTATGGTGACCTTAGATGCATTTTGTTGGTTTCTTTGCAAGAGTTGCACCAAGAGTGAATGGAATGAAATTGTTCTGATAGGAAGCACCAACAGTATTATTCTTTTCCAGGTGCTTTAATCTACTTACTTGATATGTTCTGCAACTCCACACATCCACAAGTTCGGTCTCAGACAGCAGAGCTTTTCGCTAAAATGACAGCAGACAAACTGGTTGGTCCAAAGGCAAGTCAATGATTTTTGTATGGTCATTTAATAGTTACTTTTTAAAACACACAAAGACACAAGAATCGCATGAGTTATTGTAGTGTCAAGAGGTCCTATCACATATCAAAAGTGCTATGATTGTGCTAGGTGCTGGTGTAATCATTATTTGTGGCTACAAAGGAACAGCCTTCATATGATACCAACTTCAAGCAGCACCATGTGTGGAACTTTCTATATATCTTGAGCATCCTGCTGTTTAGAAAAAAAAATGTAGCTTCACAATGTATTGCCCTCCACAGAGTCCAGCTGTTGTAATACTTTCACAAGGTAGAACATTTCCAGCAGTCAGTGCAGTTTACAAAGCTAATTGTGAAGAAGTTAAATTTGTTTCCTTTCTTTAAAAAATAAATTTTACCTTTTGCCTGATTCTCAGTAGAAATTGTTATTTTGACTTGTTCTCTGTGTATTGGTGTTTTTTTTCTAGGTTAGAATTATCCTAATGAAGTTTCTGCCTGGTGTCTTTATGGATGCCATGAGAGATAATCCTGAAGCTGCTGTTCATATTTTTGAAGGAACACATGAAAATCCAGAGTTAATATGGAATGACAACTCCAGAGAGAGAGTGTCTACAACTGTTCGTGAAATGATGCTAGAGTATGTCAAAATAACGAATCATTGCCATATTTCTGTAGATAGAGTCATGGTGGAAGCTAGCAGGATGTAAATAGTAAAAGTAAAAAATGCATTCAGTCTGTAATCCTCAGGAACAGCAGCAAGCACACAGTTCTAACTGGTATCATACAAAGGTCTATTTATTTATTTAAAATATTTTACCCTACCTTTCTCTTTAAAAAACTCAAAGTAGCTTACATCATTAAAAGCTAAAACCAGTAAATTATTAAAATTATATTAAAAATAATTAAATAACCATTATATTTAAAATGGTAGGTAAAAAGCATCCCATTTTAAAATCTCTCTTAGATAGCTAGTCCCTAAGGGAAAGTGCCAGAAGGGGAAAGTCTTCACCGCTTTCAGAAGGACAGCACAGATGGGGCCAGCCTTTTGTCCCATGGAAGGTGTTTTGGAATCTAGGAGCAGCAACAAAGAAGGCCCTCTCTGGTGTCCCAACCAAATGTACCTGTAAAGCTGATGGGACCAAGAGAGAGGCCTCACCTGATCTTAACATCTAGGCAGACTCATAAAAGGAGAGTTGGTCTTTGAGATAGTCGGACCCAAGCTGTTAAGGGCTTTATAGGTTGAAAACAGCACTTTGAATTATGCCTGGAAATGGGTTGAAAGCCAGTGGAACTGCTGTTATGGGGGTGGGTGGGTGTATGTGATTCTTGTGGCCAGCCCCAGTTAACAAACTGACTGGATTGTTTTGGACCTGCCAAAGTTTCTGAATACCTTCCAAGGACAGCTCCATGTAGAGTGTGTTATAGTATTCCAACTGGGATGTAACTAAGGCATGCATTAATGTGTCCAGATTAGATCTCTACAGGAAGAGGTGCAGCTGGTAGACTACTTTTTATTTGTGTGCTATTAAAAATGCTAAGAGCAACTGTAAAATCATGCACAGCTCTGCGATCAGAAATGGTGATATCATCAGATGCAAACTTTCATCTTTAAATTTTCCTACCATCCCCACTCCCTCCCAATTCCAAGGCTTCCTAGTGATCACACTTGACCCAAGGAGATCTTTGGAAGCCTTGAAACTGATGAGGGAGCCTTTAATCTCCAGCATCATCAGTCCCAGCTACTATCTTTATATCTGTCCAATTCGGAAAATGACTTTTTAATTATTATCTTTCCTTTTCTTAAAAAAAAAAGACACTTCAAACTCCAGAGAGACAACCCAGATGTTAACTGGAAGGTTTTCTTAATATTTTTTACATCTGGGGGAACAGTTGAAACAAAAAGCAGTGTGATTTTAGTTTTTATCACAATGTCTTTTTTACATTTTCTTCATTGCAAGTGTTCCTTGTGCCAGTGTTCAGGATATTTTAATTGTTTACTCTTTCTTGAATCCATTTGATTGTTCCAGAAAAATGTGGAATTACACAGTAGCATATTCTGAACTGACATACACTATCACAGTAGCAAGTTAATTTATTACTTTTCATTATACTTTTTTCACTGAGCAATATATAATCTTCCTAACAGATAAAGAGACTAACATCCCCCACCCCCCACTTTCTGTTTGATCTAGTTGCCAGAGGACTTTGCTGTGGTGTATGGGGAAGCAGAAGGGGAGTTGTCTGTAGGAGGTGTCTTCCTACGAATCTTTATTGCCCAGCCGGCCTGGGTCTTACGAAAACCCAGAGAATTTCTCATTGCACTGTTAGAAAAATTCACTGAACTACTGGAGAAAAACAACCCCCATGTAAGTGTACCTTGTATTTTTTGCATTAGATTAGTTTTCAGTTTTGAAATGGGCACCAGGTCATTGAAGCCTTCTATAAAGGCCTTAAGAATGAAGTCTAATACCATGTAGTGCAATCCGTATTTACTGAAGGTGGTTGTCACGCATCCACTGCTAGCAATGATCAGAGACGATAATGTGTAATTCTCCGGTGTGTAATTTTTTTCTTTAGAATGAAATCCTCAATGTTTGGAATAAATCCATGCTGATTGAAGATGGTGAAGGAATCAGCCATATGCCTGTTTGCAGTGTCTCAAGACTAATGAAACTGGCAAATGACTGCTCTATACTCACTGTTGTGCAGTGCATATGATCATATAAAGCACCTTGTATGTGTCAGATTCAGTGGATACCGTTCAGATTCTGCCCATCCCATCCAGTTCAAGTCCCACCCCCACCCTGCACAACTTAATTGTTCAGTATGATGGAGGCGCTGTTGTAACTCATAACAGGATAAGACTATTTTATGAAAAAATCATTTTCAGATGTTCCGTACATATGACTCCTGAGTTTCTTCAGAACTTTTCTTGTGAACTCATAAATTATTTTGCCATTTTTCATCTCTTTCAGATTAGGATATGTCACTGATTTGCTCTGTATTTTGTGTTTTTGAACAGGGGGAAACATTAGAAACTGTAACAACAGCAACCGTGTGCCTCTTCAGTGCTCAGCCTCAGCTAGCAGACCAGGTTCCCCCACTTGGTCATCTTCCCAAGATTCTCCAGGCCATGAATCACAAGAACAATGCCATTCCTAAAAGTGCCATGCGTGTCATTCACATACTGTCTGACAATGAGGTACGCAGACTTAAATCACAGTAAGCTATTCTGATTTTACCAAGAATAGGTTCTTCCAGCATACTGCAATCTCCTGTTCATTCATCGCATGCCTGCTTTATAGACTAGATTAGTCTATAAATCAGTGATAGAGTTTGAAATCTGTGGACTGAGGACATTATCAGGCATAGGGAACCTGCCTGGTCAAATTTTTTAAAAAATCACTCAACACATACTCCCCAGATTAACTTGCCTTCAACTGAAGATACAATATGTAAAACTATGTTATCACTAAAAGCAGGGCTGTCATTGCTCTTCCGCCCATTCTTGAAGACACAATTGCCACTGTTACAAACAAAACACTGTGTTCTCTGGTTATTGGTATAGTATATATTTCATTACATATTTAAGTAGTTTCCCCCTCTTGCTTAATGTCTTATTTGTTGTTATTATTTAATTTTAACTTGTGTTGCTGATACTCTCATTGTAAGCTACCCAGAGTAGTAGCCTGGCCAATAGATGGGTCAAATGAACTAATTAAATAAATAAATATTAGGGTGAAAACAAGCTTGAACACCATAAGCATGAAGATGTCAAAAAATTCCTAACATTATGAGTCAAAAGACTTTGGTCAGATAATTGTCTTCTCAAGTTCCTTTAAACTTTCACTAAATAAGTTTACCTAAATCCTAAAGATATTCAGCTCTAAGGGGGTGGGTAGTCTTTTGCTGCTCAGCTTGTAATATATGTAGCATAACAATCTTACTGTTCCTTTCTTCTTGGTAACTTTGGTGCCAGCTTTCCTAGTTTTATCCTAGATGTGACTCTTCAACACTGCTTTTTTCTTTCATACAGCTTTGTGTTCGTTCAATGGCAGCTTTAGAGACCATTGGCCCTCTGATGAATGGTATGAAGAAAAGACCAGATACTATTGGTGTTGCCTGCGAAGCACTTAATCGGATGTTTCAGAAAGAACAGAATGATCTAGTAGTTCAAGTAAGAACATTCTATAGCTTTCATGAGCCATCAGACTTCACATTACAATAATTTAATTGTATACCAGTATAAGTGTGCTTGCATCATAGTGTTAATGGGAAAAGGAGAATTCTTTTAACAATTGTAGCAATAACAAAAAACAAAGTACCATTTTGTAGAACCGGAAATGAGATGACCTCCTCGGTGTGTGAGAAATATAAACCTGTCTTTATCATAAAAAACATCTAGAATAATATCTTGAGTATTAGGAAGATGATTTTTCTTGCTTTCTCTAGGTGAAAGTTACCAATTATGAGAAACAAATTTAAGAGTAAACTCTGGCCTCCTTTACTCTTCACAGAAATTATTGTATCTTCCTTTTATCAGTCTCCACCAAGATCTATGGCAACACTGAGTAAGAGGCAGAAGTCTCTGCCACTCTTGGCTCAGGCTGTCATTAAGTGTCCTAAAATCTTGACTTGCAGGCTTTGAAAGTTGATTTGATCCCATATCTCCTAAAACTGCTTGAAGGTGTTGGCCTTGAGAATCTTGAAAATCCTTCAGCCACGAAAGCTCAAGTTGTTAAGGCCTTGAAATCAATGACTCGAAGTCTGCAGTATGGAGAGCAGGTAAACATCCCATCACATATCCTGAATTATTTTGTAAAGCACTTGTAAATTACAAACTGTTGATATCTTTTATTTTGACCAAAGACTGATATTTCAGAACTGTGCAATTTAAATACTAGTTCAAATTACTGGTTTTATACCTTGTCTTCCCAAACTAGGACTTAAGACATATCTTAAAAGCACCAGTGAAACATTAGAAAAAGATTCAAATATAAAAGATTGAGAGCACAAAATGCATCTGTAAAAGAAAATAGTGCTCACCCAATAAAATCCTGTTCTGCAGCAACAAAGACAGAGTCTGCCTAAATATTGCCCTGCCTTCAGAGGGGCAAAAGGGAGGGGGAGAGCTTAATGTCTGTTGTTAGGGAGGCCTGGAAGCAGCCACTGAGTGACCCAAATAAACGCAGAACTCTAAAGCAAAGTGAAAAACATATCAAAACCTCTGAACTAACCTTTTTAATGACAATATTTCTCAACTGGCTGTAAGTAAAATGGAACTCTTCCTGGGCTTCCTTGATCTTTCAGGTGAATGAAATTCTGTCTCATTCCTCTGTCTGGAGTGCCTTCAAAGATCAGAAACACGACTTGTTCATTTCTGAGACACAAACAGCAGGATACCTCACAGGTCAGTGAACACTGTAATTTCCAGCCTTCTTCCTTTCATTTTGTCCACCGTGCAGTTTCTCTGTCCTTAGATAACACATTAATTCTTTTCTACTTCTGGTTAGTTTTATATTTTCAATGTTGTTAATGAGACAGTTAAAGAGGCTGAATCAGGCTAAAACAGCTCCTGATGAACCAGGGTTTCTGTTTTGTTTCATCTCTGGAGAAATAATGATGTGAAAAATAATTAACAGTTGATGGGGAGTAGTTGAAACCAAATTACCTGAAAAATCCTCTTTTTCAAGCATTAGCTTTAATCCTGATTTTCTTGAGTATATCCAGTCCTACGTTCCAGTGGTAGAGCGTGATTGTTATTAAATGATTTATTTGTCAACTACAAGCCCACTGGAGCCACTGTGGAATTGTGCATCACTTTTGCTTCATAATGCTTTGCTGTCTCTACTTCTCTTGCTTCTGGTTTCTTTTTCCCTCAGGTATCTCCTCTCCTTCCCTTCTATCTGGTAGCAGTCCCCTTCATCTCAGAAGTGGGCTTTAGATCTACTTTTGCAGGCAGCTTGCTAAACTTCTCTGTAGCACTCTCTAAAGCAGGTAGATATATTTTGCTCAGTGCACGTTGCGTCTGCATTGTTCTGAGAACTAAATGCTTTCTAGATGCATGGCCTACAATTGTAGCAAATGTGTAGCTGTTGGAGCACCTTGTAGAATCCTAGAGTTGGCATGCCGTTTTATCGCAACAGTGACTTCAGGGATCCAAGTTACAAACTGAATAAAACTCTTATGTTTTGGGGGGTATCTTTTTGTAGTTGATGTCATTTAATGTGCTTGGAGGAATGGAAATATTAAATGGTATATAGCTTGTAGTTAGTCCAGATAGGGAGATTTTAAAACAAGCACAGTTGAAAGGTCATGAATGCAAACCATCTCAACTAGTAATTTGAAGCACACTCAGTTGCCTATTAAACTTTTATGGAAAAAAAATCCCTTTTCCCCCCTGGCACAGGTCCTGGAGTTGCTGGCTACCTTACTGCAGGGAGATCTTCAACCGTTTTGCCCAGTGTTCCACCTCCAGTAGACCACGAAGCTGGGGATACTGGCTGAAGGCTACAAAATGCTTGCACAAAAGACTCTTAAGGCGGATTGGCCAGTCATGAGGAAGGCCCTTCTTGTTCCTTGGTTTAATTTTGGAACAAATTCTGCCTGCTTTTCCAGTTTCATGACAGTGTTATTCCCTTTTCTATGAATATATTTTTTTTAGAAAAAAAGTTCATGATTCTATCACATTGTAACGTAAAAAGAAAGTACTTTGTGGATCAGCCTGAATGGGTACACAAGAATTTTCTTGCTGTACGTAAGCACATTTTGTTCCTTTATATTTTTGTTTACAAGACTGTGAATCAAAACAATTTTCCTAGGTTTTTGTATTTTATGAACTAGCATGACTGAAGTTGAACTGCAGTCTCGAATAATTGGGCTAAATCACTTGAACTTCCCAAACTCACTAGAAGATTATTTTCCTCCCAAGTTAGACCTGATCATACTTCCAAAACTTGACAACCTTCGTGTTTGCTTATGTCTTCAATCATTAATGTTACTTTCACAAGATCTAATGAGATGTTTGTATGTAAAACTGGCTTTACCAAATTGAAAAATTAAAATGCAGCAAAAAAACACAAACATTATTTAAAAATGATGTTAACATGTTATATAAAAGCATAGTGTAATTGTGATATGTTCTATACATTATCAATATATAAAACTTTCTATATTGAATGTACATTATACAGATCGTTCAAATGTACATAAAATTTTAAAAATAAAGGGAAATGAAAGCCTTGTTGATGAGAAATATGCATACTTCTGCTCTTCTATTCCTTTTGTAAACTTGGACAGATAATGGATATTTTGTACTTGTTTACTAATTTTCCTTGAAAGATGGACTTCTGGGCCCCCTGCCCCATGGTTTCTGCCTCTCTTGGGACCAAGCAATTGAAATCCATGTCAGCAAATGCACAACTGCAACTTAGATTCTTGGAGACCAAACTCCAAGATGATACAGGAAATGCACGGCCAATCTGCATCTCCTGTATGTATGTCAAATCACCTGATAAATTTTGCACCTAATAGTCTTGTGACACGGTGCTGTGACCAACAAAGATTGTCATCAGCTGATCAGAACATCCAGGGGTGGGTGGGGAATATGTTTAATCTGTAGAAGAGACTTGAACCCAGTGATGGGTGGAGTTTGTTTCATAGGCTTCCCGCCTCACTTTTTTCTTGATTTTGTGGAGCAATTTTTCCCTCCACCTCTTTTTTTGCTACTGCTGGGCAGCCTTACTCTTCCAATTTGGGATTTTTTTAAAAAGTTTTCCCTTTGTTTCTCTGGGCATTTTTTCCATGTTTGTGTGTTTTTTGGACTTTCATTTTTCCATTATTTATGCTATGCTGGATTCAAAGAGAAAGCATCAAGTGGTGGAGAGAATAATCTCCCAATATTCCACTTTTGGTTGGGAGGCTTTAAATTATGTATTATTTTTTTTGTCTTTGCTTGCTTGCTTGCTTTTCTTGGCTTTTGAGAATGGGGACTACATGTGTATTTATTTTCTGTTTTCTTCTAGTAATTTTCCTCCTGAGGGAGGTGCTTTACCTGCTTGATTGATCCTTTTAAATTGTTTGTTTTTGTTGTGAAAAGTGTACATTTTGGTAGGAGGGGTGATAATTTTTCTACTCTACAGATGTCTGCTTTTTGGAGTAGGTTAATTCTTTGTTGTCCACCTTTTTTCAAGTAATTCTTAAAGGTTCTTTTGAAATGCCAAGAAACCCCAAAAAAGAAAAAGAACTGGAAAGTTGTATTCCCTTCCCTGAAAAATAAACGGACCACTGCAGAAAAAATATATATAAATGAAACAGGCATACACACACACAACAAAGAACTAGAAATAAAATTTTCACTGTTTACATCTCTGTTTGCAATTTTCTTTGTTTACTGGAATAGAGTAGAGCTCCCCCCCCCAAAAAAAAATAAAACAGCACTAGCCAGGAAAAATGGTGAAACAGGTAAAATACAATTTATTAAATTTGTAGGACATCCAGGATGTTAAAAATAGCATTTGTTTAATAGTTATAGTTGAATATATTTTTGTATTTTAATACAACTAGATTCACTGCTGGTAAATTAAGAAGAGCAATGGATATGTATTTAAAACAGCATTTAAAAAATAAAATAACACATTTCCTGTTCTTAGTACTAATGATGATGAATGTCCCCCTGGTATTTTTTGTCATGAGAAGTCATCTTTAAGTTTATAAACCACCTTTCTCTCAGACTATTCAAGGCAACATAGACTAGGACATAAAAGGTGCCTTTTCTGTGGCACTGCAGAATTTTGATTATGATTAGTAGAGTATCCTGTTAACTGGATAATTTATTTAATACATTTCAAATGAAGTAAACTAATGGCTGTGTGTCCATGCCTTTTTATTACCGTGCCTTTTTATTACCATTAATTAAATGTTACAGGAATACAGTACCTTATATAAGATCCGCTGTGCCAGTAAGCAGGAATATTCATACTGAAAATTGTTTGCAATCCCAACTGCCAGAGAAGATTTCAAATTGCATTGAGGCAAGTCTTCAGTGTCTCCTCTTTTAGGAGTATTTGGATTAAATGACCCAAAAAGTAAAATATCAGGATTACACCTGTTTTAGTGAAGCCATTTTGTGTACAGGAATTACAGCAGTAGCAAAAGTAATGAGTACTGTCAAGTTAAAGCTTAGGTAAGAAAAATCTAAAATTGGCAGTTTCACAATCAGAACATTTGGAGATGGAGGTGAGCTATGTCAAAATTGGAATGTCCACATTTCAGTTAGCTTCTATCATTTTTCACTGGGAGATGTTTCCAGTTTAAGTTTTAGCAGAAGAAAAGATCAGAACCACAAATTGCTCTGCTGCAGCAACCAAACAGAAGCTAATGTTAAAGATGGGCATTTAGCCGCTTGGCTTGATCGAGCAATTCTACCTTTGCGATTGCCGAGAGGTGAACTTCGTCAGGTCCATCAGCTACACGTAATGTTCGAATATGAGCAAACCTGTAGAAGATTTGAAAGGTAAGTTTTGGATGGCCTTGCCATGAAGCATTGCAAAATGGATGCCAAGCAGTTTGTACCTTAGCCATGTGTTGTTCTCTATTTCACACCAACTGCTTGACACGCAACAAAGAAGAGCCAAAGTTTATCATGTAATGCCCAATTGTTGGACAGCATGTGTTTAACTCTCACTAAGGCAATGGGACTTTTAAAATGCCCTGCTTTGGCAGTTCACATTATATGATTTTGTTCAAAGTGCAAGTTTGGTAAAGTGGATAGATTTCTGGTTGGAACAAAGTTTTGAAACTTCAAAATTAATGAATGGGCTGTCAGTTGGTATAGAGTTCTTATCTTAAAATAATGTTTTAAAACCTTAACATAGTGCATGGCTTCCATGTAGTGCCACAGCAAAACTGTCAACTTGCTGAACTTCTTTGAGTGACAAGGAATATTGTACAACAATCTCCTTGTCATTCCTTGTTGCAATATTACAGTCTTGTAACATGTGGGATCCTCTTAAGTTGGCTCACTAGACTAGATTCTAAGAAAGCTGCCATTTTAGATTCCCACAATGTTGTGGATCAAGATTGTGCACTCTGTGTAATTTGATCGACCACTACTGCCAGAAGCAAGTTACCTGCTAGAAAGAACTGCTATTAGAGACAGGCCAGAAGACACATTGGCAGAGAGGTCCTCAGACTTGGAGCCCACCTTGTAATATTGTTAGCATTCAAGAAAAAAACTTAATCCAGTAAATTTGCAAACTTTCAATCCAAATGCATTTCAGCAACAATGTACTGTGGTCTGCAAAATGTTTAACATTTCTGTTATTTTGTTTTTTGCAGTTCCACAATAAGCAGCAAGAAGAGACCTGAGCTCCTAACGGGGTGGTGGAGAGGTGTTTTGCTTCAGGTATAAGCCAGTATCTTTCACTCACATTTGTGCTAATGGGAAGTCTTCAGAGAATCCAGCACCTCCACACACTTGAATGGCACAATCAATCACTTTCAGGACTGCTCGGGGTGCTACTACTTTGATCATAGCAACCTATAAAGATGGGTGAGAAATGGACAGGTTACTTATCTTTAATTGTGGTTCTTTGCACGGTCATCTGTGAATTCACACATATGGGGGAGGGTTTCCTCTGAGCCTGTACAGACAATCTTGGAACAATCTCTAGAGCTTTAAAATCCTCCTTTCAGCTAGTATATTTGCTCCATCCAATGGTTGCTCCTCAGTTCCCTCTGACACCACCGGTTTAGTGAAAGTGATTTGACAGAGGGGAATTTGGGTGGATTGTGTGAATCCACAGATGACTACTCAGAGTCACAGTTGTGAGTAAGTAACCTGTCCTTCTTTGTGGTCTCTGTGAAAGAAAGAAATGTTTTATTACGGTCATTGACCTGCAAAACTAAGATACATTATTAAATTTGGGGACATAAAAACAATCTAAAAACATTAAAAACACTAAAACACCCATGGACTAAAAACATACATATACATATATATAAAACTACATTCATACATCTTACTAAATATCTCCTACTCCCTATCATAGGCCTTATCTATGGGCTATTACAGCTTACATTGAGTGCCAAAATTGTTACTCTGAAGCTCGTAGAGCCTGTGTGAACATTACCAATTTATATACCAATTTACAGATTCTATAGCTGCGCTCTCGGTGGAACCTTTCCTTCACGGATTTTGATTGCAGCAGCACAGAATTTAGCTGCTTTTGTCAGCATATCTGAATTTAGCCCAGTATATCTGTCAGGGCATCGCCCTGTCAGCTAAAGCAGTGTGTAATGTGCCTCTGATCGTCCAGGAAATGCCCTTATGTAAGGGTTAACATGGACTTCTCGGATGTCTCTGTGATACACACATATGGATGATTCCCAAGGTAACATACCAGCTAGTGAGATGTCATGCGAGTATAGAAGACAGCACTATAATGATTCACAAAAGTCATATCCTGGGACCAGGTTGTGGCATATAACTGAACCCCTTTCAGAAAGGTTGTAGAAACTGCCATAGCATGAGTCAAATGCCCCTTTAAAGTATTAGATAAAGGACATTTAGCTAGTTCATATGATGAGATTGTTTTCATCACTTATTTAGATATAGCCTCTTTGACAACACTTATTCACCTTTTCTGTTTCCTTAATAACAAATGAGGGAGAAACTAAAGTTGGAAAGCACAAAGATAGCACTAATGGTTGGTTCTCTTCTTTAAGAAAAGAAACGTCTGTAAACAAGGTCTTTATGAAACTGCAGACATGGTTTGTCACATCACAGTTAGGCTAACTTGCTTGCCTTGCCTTGCAGAAGTTATGGCTACCAGAATAGAAACCTTGTAAGTGAGAAAATGCAAATGAGCTGAAGCCATGGGTTCAAATGGCAGCTCTGTCAACTGGGTTAAAATCACAGACAATGAATGATCAGTGTAGAGTCACTGGTAAGTATGGTTCATTAATAGATTCTGCAAATTCCTTTAACTTCCTCCATGTATAATAATAACATGGAAAACTCTCCATACTGTCAATTTTAATATCTCCATGTGTGGATGACAAATATGCCCCTTGTGGCATGTCACAATATTTGAAATAATAGGCAGTCTCAAACTGTCCACTGACATTAGAAGCAGGGTTGTGAGCCATGGCTGTCATGACCATCAAAGACTCAGTAGAAGGGTGTTTGTGCCTTCCTGCTTGATTTTACAATTGTCTGATAAACAGGGAGGGAACAAGTACATCAGGCCACCTGACCAAGTTTGTACAAATGTACGCACACACCGCATGGATGAGTCCCTTGCCTGCCCAAGAACAATATATTTCAATTTCTTCTCTTAGGTAGCAAAAAGGTCTATTTATGGCAAGCTCTTCTTCAGGGTTGAGTCTATAAAACTTGTCCAACAGCCCCCATTCATGAATCTGCATTTAATTTCTGTTTGAAGCATCTGCAGTAGAGATGGGGGCATTCATATACGGATACAAATGCCCCCACGCAGGTGGACATAATGAGGGTATGGACCCCTGGGGCCAGACTGTCCAGTCACCCTTCCATTGCTACTGTGGGCTCTGCCACTCCTGGAAGGAGATGAGACAACAAGCCTCCCCGCCAGGTCGAAGAGTGGCTCGCCAACTAGTCACTCCGGAGTGACTGTAAGGGAGTGCGGAGTCTACGGCAGCAGTGGACGGTGAGTGGATAGTCACAGTTATACCCTCGTTATGTCATTATGTCCACCTGTGTGGGTGCAATCTGGAGTGCAATTGTCCTTGCTGGAAAGATGTATCAAATCAAGGTACAGTGGTGCCCCACATAGCGACGATAATCCGTGCAGCAAAAAAAAGCTGCAAAGCGATTTTGTCGCTATGCGAAAATAAAAAGCCCATAGGAATGCATTAAAACCCGTTTAATGTGTTCCTATGGGCTTAAAACTCACCTTAAAGCAAAAATCCTCCATAGCGCCGCCATTTTCGCTGCCAGGTAAACGAGGAATCCGGGCGAAAACACAGCGGGCGGCCGATTTTTTTCCATTCAAAACATCGCAATGCGACCGCAAAAACTTAATCGTTATGCGGATTCGTTGTTAAACAGGGTGCCTGGCTCCAACACTCTTGGCTTTTTGACGCCAGGCAAAGACCTTTCTGTTCAGCCAGCATTTTAATTAAACAGTATTCCCTATCTGGCCAGATGAGGAGCAGGACTTATTAATTTCTAATGTTTTAAGAATTGTTTTAATATATGATGTTTTATATTGTCTTTTAAAATGTTTTTAATGTTTTTTAGGTTTGAATGTTGTACGCCGCCCAGAAGCCACTGGCAATGGTGTGGCTAAAAAATATTGTAAATAAATAAATAAATAAAATATGTGCTAATCAGTACACCATTCCCACTATGGGCTATGATGGTGAGTACCTAATAATCATTGTTGTTTGAGTGTCACTTGTTATAATAAGGCACTAAAGAAGAATTGAAAATTTGAGTGCTTTGAAATTTTAGAATCTGCTGGTATATGCTCATTCTCCTGTGTTTTCCAGTCAAAATTTACTATCCGTGTCTTTGTCACTTTTTTTAAATAAGATGTTATAGTGGTGTCTTGACTTATGAACTTAATTGGTTCCGTAACTCGAAATGGCTGTAACTCGAAGCAACATTTCCTGTAGGAATGCACTGAAATGCAATTAACCCATTCTGGCCGAAGAAAAAACAAAAAAAATCACTGCAAGACCCATCGGAAATGCGATTAATCCCTTCTGGCTGGCCGAAAAGGGGGGGGGAATAAAGGCAACCAAGCATGCAAGACTCATTGCAAATGCAAAGAAAACAAAGCAAAAAAGCAATCAAGCGTGCAAGACCCATTGCAAATGCAAAGAAAACAAAGTAAAAAGCAAGCAGATCGAGCAAGACCCATGGGAAATGGGGGGAGAAAGAAAACAAAGTAAAAAGCAAGCAGATCAAGCAAGACCCATGGGAAATGGGGGGAAAGCAAGCAAACTCCCCAAGACCCATCAGAAATGGGAAAATCCCAAAAAACAAGGAAACCCCTGAAGACCCATCGGAAAAGGGGGGGGAACCAAAAAACAAAGAAATCCAGCAAGACCCATCACAGCACAGAAACATAACCCCTCCAGCCCAAAACCACCTTGCAAAACCCACCCAGAACATTTTTTAAAAAGCAGAAAGCAGCACCTTACCAGGCAGTCCGAAGCCTCCTCCAATTGCACTCACTCTAACAGCTGGGGCGAAAGAGGACAAAGAAGCAGCCTCTTCGCCACCAACAGTTAGCAATTTGAATTTCCCCCCTTTTTCCCTGTCTTTTTCTGTTTGTAACTGGAAGCTCCGGCCACAAGTCGAAGCACAATTTTGGGGCCGGAGCTGGTCATATGTCGGGACATTTGTTAAGTCGAGGCACCACTGTACTGACTTAAATTTCTATCATACTTGTTTGTAGAAGCTGGAGAACTGTTGTAAAGACCTTTGCTTTTCCGCAGGAGATCTCCCTTTCTGGTAAGTGTATTGCCTTTTCCAGGGTGTTCTGTCGTGTTTCTGTGAGTATTATGCATAAAACCCATGCATTTTGCCATATTTCACTTTTTATATAGGTCTTCCATGATAGCAATTTGAGTGTTAAAAAGATCTTCTCCATCAAATGGTAAATCTTCATCTGGTAAATTCATCTGGTATGCCTGAAGATCTCAACCATATCTACATAGGACAACAGCTGCTGACATATTCTTTGCAGCACAGTCTGTGGAGTGTCTTGCAGAGTGGATCTGTTGGTTGGCGAGCATGAGAACCTCTTGCTGGAATGCCATGGCTAATGTCCATTTATCTTCTGGCAAACTTTGTACAAAAGTTTGCATTTTATCCCAAATAAAGTGATGGTAGGCTCCCATTTGCAGCTTGATACTTGGCTACTTTTATTCACAGAGCAGAAGCAGAATAAATATGCCTTCCAATCTGATCCTTTTGTTTTGTTTTTTGTCCTTTATTTATAGGTGTTGAATGAGATAGTCTTTTAGATGTGGCTTGAGAGGCTTCAACAATTACTGAGTTTAGTTGGGAGTTCTTATTTAAAAAGGATGCACCCTCTTCCTGAACCTTGTATAGCTTTTCTAGAAGAAGCCGTCTTGCGATGCACCACAGCAATCACAAAAACCATTCATCTTGCGGGTTTTTCATCCCGCGAGGCACCACTGTACAGCTAGACAGTTACCCTGCATGACAGTTTTTTCGCTAGACATTGACTTTGCTATAGCGATTCGCAAAACAGTGGTTCCTATGGGGGAATTTCGCTGGACAATGTTTGGTCCCTGCTTCACAAACTGATTTTCGCTAGATGACGATTTTGACAGCTCCCTCCGTGCTCGCAAAACAGGTGTTTTCGGGACCTAAGCTTTGCAAGACAGCGATTTAAACAGCTGATCTGTGGTTCGTAAAACGGCTTTCCTATGTCCGATCTTTGCTAGACAACGCGACTCTTCCCCATTGGAACGCATTAAACAGTTTTCAATGCATTCCAATGGGGAAATGCTTTTCGCTACACAATCATTTCGCTAAACAGTGATTTCAGTGGAACGGATTATCATCATCTAGTGAGGCACAACTATGTAAATCATAGAGACCATTAAAAAGTAGTTTAGGTTTTGACAGGAACAAAAGGAGAATCTTCACCCAGAGTAGATATAAAATAGGGGTTCTCCTTTCTGTTTATAACTTGCCTATCCTAGGGGATCTCTCAGCAAGAAGTAACAGAACATTCTTCCATTAGTAGATATACTATGTGTCCTTGGGTTATGGATTTAGTAGAATAATAGAATTCCTGTATTTCCATCCATAGATTGCCTTAAAAGACAAATTCCAGTAATGTTTCTAACAAAAGCTAATAATTAAAGACCAATCAAATAAATACAATTTTCCAGTCATTCTTTATACAGTGGTGCCTTGCATTGCGACGTTAATTCATTCCGAAAAACCGCTGCTAAATGAAAATGTTGCAATGCGAAATAAAAAAGCCCATAGAAACGCATTAAAACCCAGTTAATGTGTTTCTATGGGCTTAAAACTCACAATTCAGCGAAGATCCTCCATAGCGCGGCCATTTCTGGTGCCTCTTAAGGTAGGAAAACACAGCAGGCGGCCATGTTTTTTCCCCGGGGGCCATTTTGAAACCGCCGATCAGCTGTGCGAAAATTGAGGCTTAAGCTGGGAACCGATCATCGCAAAGCGAAATTCCCCCATAGGGAACATCGCAAAGCGATGGCAAAAAATGTCGCTATGCGATTTCATCGCTAAACAGAGCGATCGCTAAGCGAGGCACCACTGTATTTTGAGAGCACCCACTACAAGCTCTATGTTGCCTGTCATATAGTTAGAAAAAAAAAGATTAAGACTAGAGATGGGGGTATCCGTATACGAATATCCCTGCACAGGTGGCGTTAACAGTTACACTCACCAATCTGACGTGATTGGCACGACTACCAATGGCTCCGCAGCGCACAATCCACTCTCAACCTTGCAGTGAGGCTTGTCCTCCTGCCAGAAGTGGCAAGCAGATTGCGTGCTGCGGAGCCATTGGTAGAATTGCGCAGTCTGTGTTTGCAACATATTGGTGAGTGGATCATCTGGCCCCATGTGTGTATTCATGTGCGTAATGCCACCTGTGCGTATTCATATACAAATACAAATACCCCTGTCTCTAATTAAGACTAGCAATATCCATGTTTCAAGCCATGTGACGTTCATGGGGTAACTTTGGGCCAGTCACTACCGCCCAGTCTAAGCTAATTTATTGCCATGATCAGGGAGACATGCTGTCCTGGACCCAATAAATGGATGGCTGGTCAGTCAGTCATCCTGTCATTTTAGTCACATTCTGTTCACTTTCTTGAAAGTTGAAAAGTTGTTGTTTCTCCTTTGTGTTCTCCGTGAATACACACTAATGAGTGCAGATTAACCCATTAGTGTGAAATCACAGAGGACTACTCGAAGAACCAGAGTTACAGGTAGATAACCTCTTTTCTCTTTCGAGTCCTCTGTGAACACACACTAATGGGTTAATCTGCGCCCATTAGTGTGTATTCACAGAGGACTACTCGAAGAACCAGAGTTACAGGTAGGTAACCTCTTTTTTGGGAGGGAGGGAATTATTGTAAAGATCTACTACTTGTCTTTACAACTTGCAGGTACATTACCATGAAAAGTGTAGCAGACTGGATCCAGCCTACTAAACTTAGCTTAGTCAAATCTGGGCCAGACCCCAGTGAAATCCAGTTTTTGTCGTTTAGTCGTGTCCGACTCTTCGTGACCCCATGGACCAGGGCATGCCAGGCCCTCCTATTTTCCACTGCCTCCCGTAGTTGTCTCAAATTCATGTTGATTGCTTCGCAGACACTGTCCAGCCATCTCATCCTCTGTCGTCCCCTTCTCCTCTTGCCAGTAGTAAGCTGCAACTAAATTAAGCCCCCTGAATCGATAGAACTTACAGAGATGTTGATTCACCCAATCCCCACTGATTCAATGGGCCTACTCTAGTTGTGACTTACTAATGAATTTCAGCCAATGGAACTTAACTAATGTATAACTTTATTCATAACTAAAATTGATTACAATGGGTCTATTCCAAGGACCCAAACCATTGCATTTCACAAAATACACAGAGCTGTTTTTAATATATACTATGGTCTTACCATGGGCTGTGGAAATTTATGTACACTGCCTCTCACTTCAAAGTTTATTCCATTACCTCTTTTCTGGCTTCTTTGCTGCCCAGTGTATCTATTTTGTTGGCCGCTTTCAGCGTAAGCAGTCTTGCCTGTTCAATAGCGATACGGCATTCTGCAATCCAGTGAGCCACAACTTCCTGTAGGAGCAGAACAACAAAGAAAAGTGAGGGATATCCAACTTTGGTCTCATAGCCATGAACCTAAGAACTCAATTGCTCATAATAGTTCTACAGTGCCTTGAGAAAATGGGACCAATGAACATTTCAAACTCATAATGTACACCTTTTGCTTTAGTGAGAGATAATTAAAAACTAAAACTGCTACTTGAAAGGCTGCATGTTAGGATTTTTCTACAAATTTGAAAAGAAGGTGCATGTTTTTAACATGCGTTGTTTTAAAGGTAAAATATGCCTTTTTTCCCTCTGTCACTGTGCCACCACATTTCAACAGTGTGGTAAACATCTTAATAATGAGGGGTGTGCTTGGGGGGTGCACAACAGCCACTTTCACCCCATGTGTTAACATTCTCAAAACAAAATAGCACTATACCTTGTGTGACAAACCCAGACCTACTGGGACCTGTCACACAGTTACACTAAGCTGCCACCAACCATTCCCTATAATAAGTCACACAGACCAGGGATGGATTTTCAAACAATAAAAGAATAAGGTTTATTTTAAATACAAACAGGGTAAATAAACAATCAGGTGAATAAAATAAAGTAACGTGGCTTATTCTCACACACACAAGCATACAGTTTGGTTCACCTAGAACCTTTAACTTAAAGCACAGACCCTGAACCCATCAGTTCTGGCTAACCAACAGACCCCTGAACCTTTCAGGCTGGTACTCTGACACACAGTAGTACCCTGTCAGACACCCAGACTCCCACAACAGCTTCTTCTTCCCCAGCTGCTGCTTCGTCCCAACCCAGTGTCTCACAGTCTGTCTCAGCATCTCCTCTTCACCACACAGGCATCACATATTTATACAGTACAGCCCCTCCTCCTGATGTCCCGCCTTCCACTCCCCATAGGATGGAACTTTCCCTTTTAACCCATGACAGACAGGTAACATCAGTGCTGTTATGTAACACCTTGTTTATAACTCCGGCATAATGTTCTAAACTGTGGACTCATCCAAGTTGATTGGAGATGTGGGTTTGCGTTTATAGCCTGTAAATTCAGTTTGTGAAAGCTTACCAATTACCGACTAAGGTATAAATAATCAGTAACGTGCTCTGAATCCTAATTCTCTTCTTCGGTCTCTGGATCTGATCCACCTTTGAGCTAAGAAATGTATTGTGTGTATAGAAAGGCACAGAAAATTAGAGACGAAACTCACATGGTGGTACAACTTCTTGCTGAATGTTGTCCTCTGTGCTGCACGCTCACACAGGATCCGTAGAGCAGTTTCAGCCGCGCCTATTGATCGCATACAATGGTGGATGCGGCCTGGACCAAGTCTTCCTTGTGCTATTTCAAATCCTCTTCCTTCTCCTGTATCACAAAACACCATCTCCATATTTCCAGGCATATGATGTATATTTACAAAGCATGTGTTCATTTTACGGAAATGAAAAATGAAAGTGTGACATTGGGGCTGATGTTTTAGAGTATCAGTCTTCTTATAAGGAGCCTGTCCACATTTGAGAAAACTAAAAGCATTCAGAAATGCTGACAGCAGCAACTGATGAAATCCCAACACTTTTACAAGATGTTACCTGGCACGACAAACAAGAGAGACAGAGTGGAGACCACAGTGGAAACATTTACACAAGGAGATATTGCCTCATGCAACACACCCACAAATAATAGAGATCATGCACGAGTGCAAATCAGAATAATACCGAACAACAACAAACACACTACTACTACCGGAGGTGTTAAACACCCCAGAAAGTAAGGCCATTTATACCACTTTGACACCAGTTTCAACACTGAGTCACAGACACTGGGAAAACTACAAGTGTCATGGATGCAAAGAGAGCTCTGTTTAGGTGAGACCTTGTGCAGGAGTCGCACAGGAAGAATTATAATGCCAAAAAGGTATGCCATGAAGGTGCAGCTTTATTTTGTCTCCAGCTCTGCTGCAAGATTTCATAGTAGAGCATCCTTAGGAATGAACTGGGAGGCTGGGAGTACCCCAAGGGGCACTTCCCAGAGTGTACCATCTGCCTCCTTGGCCGAAGACACTGAGGGACAGATGCCCACCCTGGCGGAGGGACTGTGGATGAGGAGGGGCAAAAAGACCCAAAGAAGGAGCCACCAGAGGGCATCATTTTAGCGGGAAAGGGAGAGGAGATAAAAAGGAAAGGGGGCAGCTGGAGGGAGAAGCTTGTTAGGTGGAGGAGGAGGAAGATGAAAAAGTTCGGAGAGTGGCAGCAACAGGAGGCTCAGAGTCAGGAGAACAAGCCATGCCCAGAACATCCTGGGAAACTGAGTGGGATGAGTTCCTTCAGGCCAAGACTGAGACCAAATGTGGGCAAAAAAGTGTGGAAATCACAGGGCTGGGCTTTCTACCTTCTCCAATAAAGTCAGATACCTAAGGTCAGGTACCTGAAGAATTGGGCATTTCACAGAGGTGGTGTTACAGAGACTTGAGTTCTACCCCTATGCAATGAGAGGGGGATTTGTTATGATTTAACGAGAAAGTTAATGGCATGATGTCTCTGAAGCAAGAGGCAGAATCTGTTGGAATAAACAAGTTGTTACCAGCTAAAGGATTTTTGTTAGAAACTCATGACGTCCCTGAGTCATCCATCCAGCACAGTTCAGATGAAAGGGAGAAGGGCTTAGTGTAAGAAGGAGACAGCTGGCAAATTGAAAAAAAAAAACCAATAGTTGGAAGGAGGAGGGGGTGCTACGGCCAAAGGCCAAGCGGAAAAACGAAGGTAGAAAAACAGTAACTTTGATACATGTATGATCTATAATAAATAAAAAATATAAAGAAAAAGGAATCAAGAGTAAAACTCACTTTCGAATCACAGAAGCATAATACAAGGCTCTCAATGCAGCGGTTGAAAGAAACAAGGGAGAGTCTTGCTGCCAAGGTACTTATACGGAGGGAGGGGCTTATTCTAATGTGTTTTTTGCTACCGCAGAAGTTCTAGAATCTTCCGATGAGGCTGCGCACAGGCGCAGATCACTCAGGGTGTGATTCACAGAGGCCACTAAGAAGAACTGTAACATTCAACTAAACTTTATTTTCAGTTTCTCTTGCACATAGTATGCAAGAACTTGATGTGATTGTGGCCTATTCTGTGCAAGCAGAGGAGATTAAAACTTCTCATAATTCCCAGCAGCTGATCTTCTACTCTCAACATGCTCCTTCCACACAGGTACAGGTTGAAAAGAGACGGTGAGGACCAACTGATTTATTTTATTTGCCCCAGTGCAATAAGGCCAAATTGGGGGAGGGGGCGATTCCGCCATGGGGTGGTATAGGGCCCTTGGCCCTTTCCCACGTGTGGTGGATCCACTGAAGATCATGTTTACTTGCCAGCAAAAACACAAAGTCAATTTTAGCTGCATTCTACACATTTCTTTTTCATACCCCCAAATACTGGTACATGAACCTAGAAAAGCCCCTCTTTCCACACAGTTTTGTGGAAAGTTACAGAAGTTCTGACAAAGTCTGGCAGATGCACATTGGGCTCCACAGGAACTCTCCAAGAAGGCAAAATCTTGAGACTCACCAAGTATTAAATTGGAGGCTGGCACTCGAACGTTGTTAAAATGGACTTCGAAATGTCCCCCGTGAAAATAATCTATACATTGGGGGGGGGGGAACAAAGACAGGGGTAAATGGAGGTAAAAAATTCTGCTAGCATTAGTATTTTCAAAAACTGCAGGATATCGGTCATTCTCTGTATACACAGGATGTACAGTCCAGCAAACAAAAGCCCGGATTTAAAAAACTATTTTATTTGGCATCTTAAGAACAAACAAGCAGCCCACACAAAATAAATAATGCACTGATTTTCAGTACACTGTTTAACCTCATGATGGCAATCGCATATCCTACAATCTTCCTTCCCAGCCCTCCTCCTCCTTCAATATGTCAGCACAGGAGTGCAAATATAATAATCTTAGAACTGCAGAGCTAGAAGGTATCCTTGAGTCCAGCCCCTGTCAAAGAGGCATAATGGGATATTGAACTTCCAACCTCTGGCTCGCCTAAACCACTGAGCTAAATGGGCTTCATAGTCTCCACTAGTTTGAAACATATGTAGTTGTTGGCTTTAATGACTCAACACAACTATTCTTTATCGTGAAAGCCTTGCAAAGCAGAGCAGAGGGATTCTAGGCTGGACAGCAGTGAAGAATAGTTATTGCCTGGCATGAGTGTTCTGTGTTGCTATCAGGGCTCCTATGTCATGAAATGCCTTGAATTTGTCTAACGTTTTAAAAATATTATGATTATTAGCATGGTGAGGTGGGTATGCTGGCAGAATGCAGCACCTCAGTGTTAAGCTTGGGGCATTTAAAAGGAACACCTCCTCTGAAATCTGATAGTCAGAGAAAGAAAAGTAACACTCTTTAATACTTGAGGCAATCCACTGATGGATACAACAGGAGGGGGGAAATGTAGACTTATTTATAAAAGTCCCCAGAGCTGGCTTTTACGTTTGCACAGCCATTATGGAAAAGGTTTTTTTACTCTATCTAGGACAGTATGAACAAAAAGAGACTTCAGAAAAGGAGAAGGAAGGAAACCTACAAGTACCAGACCCTTGGAGTAGTATCCTATTGATTTTCTGTTCCTGGGAAAAAAAACCATCACAGCTGATTGATGAGGTGCCAGTCATGTGACTTGTCACATGACCAGTAATGTACCTGGTGCCTCTTCAGTTAGTTGTGCTCGCTTCTCTTTCATGCAGAGTGAAAAGCAACAGGTTTCTGGGCTTTGGCTATCAACCTATCTGTTGTCTTGGCTCCACTGGTTCAGATCACTTGTTGCATGTGTTGGTTATCAAACATTAGAAAGCTGTCGAAGCCACTGGGAGCCACCACATCCACATATATAACTTGTAAGCAAATCTGAGGACCTCCAGGAATCTCAACCCTGAGCAGTTGCAGAGCTGGCAGATCAAGGTACAAAATCAATACCAAAAGTGTGTATTGGCCCATCTCTGAAGTAGACTAGCTTTGTAATTCATTGCCAAATTGGACTTTTAATTAGTTGGAGCAATACAATACTGGATGTTGGACAAGCCTTACTCACCAAGATATCCAAAAACTGAAAGAGGCCTTACAAGTTTTACTCCGGGTGTATCCATTGGCACAATTATCATACTGTGCTGCTTATATCTAATGAAAAGGGAAACAGAAACCAATGCTTCGTATTTTTTTAAAAAATGAAGTCTGTCAGCATGCCACAATGATTTCTAAATGTCTATTCATCAACAATTACTCAGGACCTTATTAGTAGGCACTGCACATAGTCCTAGCGGAGGGTGGTGGTCCTGGCTAAAACAAGAGAACAGAAAAGTTACTTTTTTTGACTATAGATCCCAGAAACTTGCAGCTAGATTGGGCACTGCAGGATTTTGGGAACTATAGTTCAGGGGGGAAAAACTTCTGAACTTTGAATGTACCAAAATAATTTTACCAACTTGGAATTCTATGTATGCACCTTGACTTTGGGAAGGGTCACCATTTGCTGCCCCCAGCTTTGCACACAAGTTAACTGTAGAGATACTGTATACCATTTTAGACTACAGTACTGTTAATCCAGGTGTTTGTAGTCACCCCAATCTAACTCGTTAAATTTATCCTGCCTCCATGCCTATGCCAGTGCAAATCATTTGTACTATAGGGAAGCCTCCAAAGATCTCTCCATTCAGTTGCATGCACCTTCCCATGACTAAGCCTAATCACTGCCTGGGTAGAAGTTGCCTGGGTCCCTTATGTTTACTGCCTGGAGCTTCATTACAAAAGCAGGAGAGGCTATAAAGGAGCGATGTGGAACCTGCAGTTCAGCATAAGTTGTTGCCCACAACTCACATCATGTCTCATTATTTGCCCTCCCAGCTGCGTTTGTTGGGAACTAGAGCCCAGACACATCTGGACATCACAGATTCCCTAGGCATCAAATGAGTGAACTAAATGCATACATCTACAGACTGGGACATTAGCCTGGACACTAATGTAGCTCTGACACAAGACAAAGAAGTAGAGTTAGAGGATGTTACTTTTTCCTCTCTCTCTCTCTCTCTCTCTCTCTTTTTTTTTTTTCTCTCTCTCTCTCTCTCTCCCTCTTTTTTTTTTTTTTTTTTTTTTTTTTGGCAAATCATGTTGCTTACCATCCCACCTTGCTGTTTTAAACCAATAACTTGTTTCTTACCTGGATGCGGATGTATTTTTATCTTTGACCATCACAATAGCAAATTTGCAGTTTGGATTTCCAGCTCCTAGAAGATGAGCACAAATTAGATTTCTCCGTTAACAGTTTTAGCATTGAGCTCTGAGACTACAATATTAATAACACTGGTTTCGCAATCCATGTCATTCATCAAAATCATATGTTTCCAAGTAAATGTGTATTTCCAGTCAGTGGGCAAAATCCTGTTGGTGTAAATGTATGCTGTTGTAATCTGGATTGGGCACTGGAAATAATTAATTTAAAAGACTTGAAAGCTCCCTATCCCTCCCACTTTCAGGTTCCAAGGTTCCTTGGAGCTCTCTTTGGCCTCAAGGAAGCCTTTGGGAGACTCAGGACACAGAGGAAAAGTCTAAAATAGAAAAAAAAATCACCAGCAGACCCAATCCTGGTGGCAATGATCTGGCAGGTTTTATGAAAAATATTTAAGTCTTCCCCTCCACATCCTGAGATCCCCAAAGGCTTCCCCAGGGGAAAATGGGAATCTCCCTATGCCTATGGCCAGTTCAGATGATCTGTAAACATCCAAAAATGTCTCAGTTCCCTTGTGTGCACCTTCCTAAGACTAAACTTGTTCACTGCCTGGATGGGAGTCTGCCTAGGACCTTTTGGAACATGAAAAGGGGATGGGGCTAGGAAGCTTTCTGTTAGTTCAAATTAAAGATTTCTGGCTCCTCATCCTGGTTATGCCAGGTTATGCAATAGGATTTTGCCCAATGTGCATCAACAGTTAACTGGAAACACTAGCAAGTCATGAGGAAAATTGCTACTTTGAAAAGTAACTTTTTTGGACTGTGACTAGCATGCTATAACAATATTTAGAACTACAACACTTTTTTATATCCATATATGGGACATTAAGTTTCAGTTAACAACTTCTGTTGCTTTAGATGCACTGCTTTCGTCTTTAAATAAATGGAAACCAACAACCATAGTCTCTATAAATGCCTATTATAAAAGCACTAAATTTAATATTAATAAAGTGGGAACAGAGTGGAACATTATCCAGCACGAATAACAATGGAAATTTGCCCTAGCTTCAATATCTGAAATCTCTTGAGATCTAAACTAGATGGGGATATTAATATTCATTTATGAATACAAATATTCCCATCTCTAATCTAAATCTATGCTTGGGTCACCAAAAACTGAAATTAAAATTTCTGAAAATGATTTTAAGGATGACAGCAAATTTCAAAAGTTAGACTTCCTACTACCATCACCATTCCTGCAGCCCCAATGGCTTCCTCAAAATGAAAGGAATACCACAAGGGCCTCAGGACCTTTGGGGAGAGAGAGGGATCAGAAATGTCTGATTTCTGAAAAACTGCCACAGCTGATGACACCATCAGCCTTAGCACTCTAAGTTGTGTAACAGGATTTCAGCAGCTAAAGTTTTTCTAAAGAACTTTTTGCCCTAAGGTTTCAGGCAGATCAGGAGCAGCAAACTAAATGCTACTATAGCTCAAAATTACAGTAAATGTAATATGGTTTCCAGGAAAGCACAAGTCATGCTGTCAAATGACAGAGGAAAAAAAAGGCGTGGTGGTTTTGGAAAGAAAGCAAAAATCCTGAGTCAGAGAAAGAAACCGCATTCCAGAGGCAGAGTTCAAAACAGCAGCTCCTTTTACTGAAAAGAGGAAAAACAGGTTAGTTTTTAATATTTGTACTCTGAAACTTAGCAAGCTATCTAATAGTTAGGAAGAGGATGGAATCTGTTCAGTTCATAGCAAAATGTCCAACAATTTGAAGGGCAGAGGGAAGCTAGATAGCAGAACTTGGGAAAGTAACTTTTCAAAAACTACAATCCTTATTGACTCCCAGTGAGCATGGTTGTTGGCTACAGTATTCTGAGAGCTGCAGTCCAAAAAGTTGGTTTCCAGGCTTTGATACTATACTAGTCTATACTATATTAGTCTCTTCAACTCGGTGCCATTCTATAGATGAGAAGACCCTTTCCAGGGTCTCAGACAAGAGTGGTTCCTAGCCTTGCCTGTAAATGCTGGGGACTGAAACCTGGACTATGTACATGTTATACTCCCTAAGGGAACCCTGTTTATGAAGATCAGTTTTGCCCATCTGGACTTGGTGTTCAGAAATCTGAAGTCTTTTCTACCACAATGAATGAGAATGGGAATTCATGCAGATAAAGAAATGCATACATTTGGAGACACTACTGAGTTAAAAGTTGAAGAATCCCTCTATTCTGAACCAAACCTGATTTTGTCCATGTAGACCTATTCTGGGTTCTATTACTCTGGAATGTATTAGACTTGTCAGCATTACTGAATGCATTAAAACTGTTTTAACTTTCTAAATATGCTATGCTCTGGTTTCTAATTTGCATGTTTTTTGCCATAAACTGTTGGCAGTAACAGGCTCTGCAGTTAATAAGACTCCTAAAGATTCCTAGATATATGTTGGATCCCATGGTGAAATCAACAGGATAGCTAAACTCCATTTCCAACTTCTCTTTCATTGGGAACTGATCATGTTCACACTCTGCAATGATAAAACAGAAATCCTCTTTGTGCTGTAGTCAAGAAACTGCATTAGATGCAATCTAATATTGCCTTAGAGATCATGCACATCAAGATCTACTTATCCATTTTTAAGTGGCATCCTGCCACTTTAACCATAGTTTTAACTTTGGTTCCATATGGAAAGTTACTTTTTAAGTTATGTGTTTCAGCACTGTGGTCCACTTCTTTGTTTTCATCAAGTCTCTCTCTCTCTCTCTCTCTCTCTGTATGTGTATAATATATACATCATCTTGTCTGCCATTCTGATATCAGATAATGTGCTATGTTAATTTGCAATAGCATAATTAATGGAACTCTTCTACAGTCTACTCAGAAGTGAGTTCTCTTAATTTCAGTGGAGCTTACTCCCAAACAAGGATATATTAGGGGTGAAAGATAACTTACTTTTGTTAATAATCCCTCCTAAGAATCTACATATTAAATATAACAGAAGTAACATTTCATTTTTGTAGCTTGGCACACACACACCTTACACATAAGATATCCTAAAAATTGTTGTATGCTGTCAAGTTAATTCCAACTTATGGAGGCCCTGGTAGGATTTTCAAGGTTTTGAGATGTTCAGGAGTAGTAGTTTACTGTTGCCATTCTCCAAGTATATCTCCATGGAACCCAACATTTGAATCTCTAAAGAAGACCACAAAATAACTAAGTGGCGTAATCATATTGGGTTATTTTAGTGACTGAAACCCATATTTTTTCCATAACTTATAAACTCATCTCTCTTTATACAATGAGGGTTTCTGAGAAGTTTGTGATTTCTTTCATTTTTACCATAAAAGTCAACATATTTAACTGATCCAGTACTCTTAATGCTGAAATGTTATGATTGGTCAGTGTCTATTCATAGTCTAAACCTTTGTCCATAGTCTTTTGTACCATGAAAACAAACACACTTCTTTGGAGAAGAGCCCATTGACACTACTAAAATTTATTTGCTCTGACCATTAAATTTAGTGAATGAAATGATAAACACATTGCTATTACAACAAAGAGTAACAGCATATTAGACTGGAGACCCCTACCCTACTTGCATGGCATATTATTCACAGTTACTTGGTAGTAACAAGTTATAAATATATTGTTATTTGAACTAAGGTACTCAATGTGTAGTGGATAGTGTGATGGACTAGGACTCTGGAGATCAGAGTTCAAATCCCCAATTAGCCATAGAAACTCATTGGAGGAGTGGAACTGGTAAAACCATCCCTTATATATTTCATTAGGCTTGAAAGCCCTGTTAAGCTTCGTATAAGTCAGTTCTGACTTGACAGTACATAACTAATTGTAATTAAATCTTTTTTTGCAGTTACTAAGGCAAAACTAGATGTATCTTAATAGTCATTGTAACTTAGCACATTCACCCTCAATTCACTTGCAATGGAAGTCTAATGTTTTGTTTACTTTTATGATTAGGTGTAGGTGACATTTCAGGTGTACACACACTTTTGTAAATAGTCGTGCAGCATATATAGGATATGATTGTAAAAAAGAGAAATCTCAGTGAATGCAAATATCTGTTACGTCTCTACATACAATCAGAAGGAAAGCACTGATGCTGGAGGCCTGGACACCGCCCGCCCCCCCCTTAACGGATGCCTCACCCTTTGGCTGTGCAGATACTGTGTCTTTATCTCAAACAAAGCCCAAACAAAATAACCAATGGTCAGGAAGTCTAAAACATCTTGAGAGCCAATGACTAAGAGCTGTATAAGAACCTACGTGTGTCTGGCCAGCAGTATGGTAGGCCTGATAGGCAATGTTATTGAATTTCCTTGCTTTAAGGCAGGGGTCTCAGACATGCGGCCCGGGGGCCATTTGCGGCCCATCGGATGGTAGTTTGTGGTCTCTGGTTTACCTGTCCCCCCTGAAGCACCCATGCATCCAAAAAAAGCCTTGCCTCACTCGCTGGCTCTCTCTCAAGACAGCGCCTCTTGCACCCTCCATCCGGAACTGCAGCCTGCCAGCCAGTCCACCTGTCTGCCGGCTGGCAGGCTGCAGTTCTGGATAGAGGATGCAAGAGGTACTGTCTTAGGGGAGAGCTAGTGAGCGAGGGGTGCTGCCGGCCCTTTTCACTGAGCGCCCAAGCCACCGCTGAGCGATGCCTGAGAATGGAGATCTCTCCCGGGCCGTCCTCGAAGAGCGTATCCAAGCCACCAACAGCAGCCACCACCGCCTCTTCCAGGGAAGCGGATCTCTGGCTGTCTTTCTCTCTCGGCAACCCCAGCACCAGCCCGGCCAGCAGCCACCTCAGCACCCAGGGGTGCTTCCTCCTCCTCCTCCTCTTCATCCTGCTTCAGTTGCCTTGGCTCTGGAGGCTGCCTGGGCTCGCCTCGCAAAGTTTGCTCCTCTGTCGTGGTGGGGGTAGCTGTTGCTGCTGAGTGCACCTTTTTTGAGGGGGACCCTCAGAGGAAGGTTGCTGGACCTGTGTGTGTTTGTGTCTGTGTCTGTGTGTGCACGCGCGCATGCACCTGTGGGGGAGCCCGCCCCATTCTGTTTAATTTTGTGGGTACCGACAGGGGCTTTTCTGCTTTGGCAAGGCGATTCAGTGAGGGTTTTTTTTTAAAAAAAAAATTATGTCGTGCCCTCCTCCCTCTCACTAGGCTGTCACCAGCGCTCCCTCCCTTCTCTGCTTCTTCGTCCTGGTGGTGGTGGTGGTGGTAGTGAAGGAGCCAGAGCGGGTTGTGGCCAGCGACGAGGGCTCGCGTGTCCCCTCCTCCTCTTCAGAGCCCCAGCTGGGCTAAGGAAACTCCTGGGAGGCTTCCTCGGGCTCTTGCTCTGCTTGGTGGAAAATCTAATGCGGCCCAGCCTGACCCAGACACTGCCTCCAGCGGCCCCCAGGTAAATTGAGTTAGAGGCCCCTGCTTTAAGGGGATCCTGGCCTCAGTATTGATTCACTAACTCCTATCCTTCAGGCAGTGCTGGATGCAGCTTCTGTTTTTTGCAGCAGCCATGTGTTCATCACAGTTTCAAGCTGACCAAATGCATGCAGGAAAAAATCTACTAGCATTCAACTCAGACATCAGATTCAAATTATTTAAAGGGCATTGCTCTATATTTGTAAATTAAGTGACATGTGTTTTAACTTGCAAAAATAACACTGGTATTTCTGTATCATCCACCAGCTTCTTCCATGGAGGCCAATATAAATCCTTCAGAGGAGTATTTTTACTATTACAATGAGTCAAATTATACGTTGGACTACAGTTTACATGAAACAATTTGTCTCAAAGAAGAAGTGAGGAAATTCAACAAGTCATTTTTACCAGCATTTTATTCCATTGTATTCCTCATTGGACTTCCTGGGAATTCCCTAGTGGTAGCAATTTATGCTTACCTCAAGAAATTAAAGACAAAGACAGATGTATACATTGCACACCTGGCAATTGCTGATTTATTGCTGCTTTTTACTCTTCCCTTTTGGGCTGTAAATGCTGTACATGGATGGATATTTGGCTTATTTTTATGCAAAATCACTACTGCTACCTATACTATGACATTCAGTGCTAGCATGCTGCTTCTGGCCTGCATCAGTGTTGATAGATATTATGCCGTCTCTAAGTCCTTGAGTCATCCACATGGTGCTAAGCTATGCAGCAAAACCTGTTCCTTTGTCTGGATGGCTGCAACCTTCCTTTCCATTCCTGATATAATTTTCAACCAGGTCAAGGAGCTCCATGAACAAAATAGATGCAGTTCTACATTTCCAGACAGCATTGGGAAAACATTGAAAGTAATAATTGAAATCGTGGAAACAGCTCTGAGTTTTGTACTACCCTTCTTTGTCATGCTGATTTGCTATTCATTTGTGGCCAGAGCACTCATCAAGAGTCCCAGTGTTAAAAAATCACAGCCTCTAAAAGTTCTCGCAGCAGTTGTTTCAGTTTTTATTATCACCCAGCTGCCCTATAACATTGTCAGGTTTTGGAAAGCCATAGATTTGGTCTATCCCATAATTACAAACTGCAGTGCGAGCAAAGCTATTGATGTTGCATTCCAGGTGACAAACAGTATTGCTTTGTTTCATAGCTGCCTGAACCCCCTTCTGTATTTTTTCATGGGAGCCTCTTTTAAACTGCATATGGTGAAATTGGCAAAACGTTATGGCTACTGGAGAAGACAACAAAGCATAGTAACTGAAGAGATTGCTATGGGCTATGAAGACTCAGCAGCTCAAACAAGTAGCTTTACTATTTAGAATATGGGCAGAGAACATATGACTATTCAGATGTTGCTGAACTCCCATTTTCTCTGGCTACACTGAATGAGCTTTATGGATGCTGGGAATCCAGCAACATCTGGAAGGCTGTAAGTTCCACATGCAAATTAGAGAACTGGGAAAAGGTTGTTTCAGCTACCTGCTGGCCAGTCTAAGCAGGTTAAGGAGATCTCTGGAGCAATCTGATCTCTAGCCATAATGCACCCTTTTCTGTCTAGCTTTATAGCATAATACATAACACACAGCTTGGGAAAATTATTTTTTTTACTACAATTCCCGGAATTCTTCACTGTGATGTAGGCTGGGACATCTACTCCAAAAGGTAACTCTCCCAAGTGCTGAATATGGTCTAGTTTATATTGGCTTACTTTATGATTTATAGACTATGCTTATAGACTGTGTACAGCAAAGCCATTCTTGAGAAATTATGGATTGTTCTGATAGAAATGGAGATGCCTCAGCACCTGATCATCCTAATGTGTAACCTGTATTGTAGACAAGAAGCTACTGTTAGGACAGAATATGGACAGACAGAATGGTTTCCAAGAGGCAAAGGCAACAGACAAGGCTGCATTTTATCTCCTTATCTATTTAATCTGTATGCAGAACATATCATATGGAAAGCTGGACTAGATTCAGTGAAGAGTGGATATTGGTGGAAAGAAATAATTTAAGATATGCAGATGACACCGTCTTACAGGCAGAAAGCAGCAATGACTTGAAATGACTTTCATGAAAGTGAAAGAATAAGCCAAAGCAGGACTTCAGATAAGTACTATGAAGACAAAAATCATGACTACAGAAGAACTACACAGCTTTAAGGCTGACAATGGATAAATTGAAATCATGAAAGATTTTGTGTATCTTGGTTCAATCATCAGTCCAAATGGAGACTGCACCCAAGAAATCAGAAGACCAAAACTTGGAAGACCAGCAATGAAGGAATTGGATAAGATCATAAAGTGCAAGGATGTGTCCATACTATGGTATTCCTGATCACAAAGTATGGGTGTGAAGAATGGATGGTAAAGACAGCTGATGGGGGGGGGGACTGATTCATTGGCAGTGTGGAGAACTTTGCAGATACCCTGGACTGTCAGAAACATGAAGTAGGAGATAGAGAAAATCAAGCCTGAGATATCTCTGGAGGCAAAAATGATGATACTGTTATATTTTGGGCACATCATGAGAAGGTAGGATTCTCTGCAAAAGACAACAGTCCTGGGAAAGGGGGAAGGCAGCCAGAAAAGAGGTAGACCAAATAAAGGATGGATTGGATTGACTCCTTAAAGGAGGCTTGAGTTCGCAGGAGATGTGTGAGGCTGTTGAGGACAGAACATTTTTGAGATCAGTCATTCATAGTGACATCATAAGCTGGAGGCAACTTGATGATGCATAACAACAACAATCTATGATTGGGTGAAATATCATCCTTTATTTCTAGTAATTATCACTTCAAACAAACAATATGTTTAGGTATCAAACCTATACCCACTAACTTGGAGGTTATTTGTATTCTTATACCTACTTACCATTGAACACAGCAGGACCTATGTTTGAAAAGACATGCATAGGTTTGTGTTGTTTATGAAGGAGTAATTGAGAGATGTGCTTAAAGCAAGGAGACGGGAAGATCAGGTAGGCTCAAAAACATTTCTTCTAAGTCAACTATTTTCTTAAAAAGCTTGGATCAGGAAGGAGATGGGGTTGGCTTGGGCCTATTTTGGGATTTCTGACGTACTAGGGAAAGGACAAAGGAAGTGTGGGTATTTTTATCTGCAAAAATCTGGAGAGGGGCAGAAGAGAAACAGCTATGATTGTTTCTCTTCCCACACTCTCTTTCTTCCTCTGCAACATCTTGAAATACAGAGAGCAAACAGTATTTGTCCTTGGGACTGAAATGTAAAAGGAAACAGATAAACTAGCTGGCCAGGCCTCACAAAGACCAGACAAAGTGATAGCATGGGGAAAAGTATGATAAAAAAAAATCAGCTGCCTCTCCACAAAGCTTTGACATTTGAAGTCTGAGGACCTTTCTGTCTCTACCCACACACACAAGAGTGTTAGTCCACACACTAAAATAGAGAGAAGGAATCACTCTCTAATAAGGCACATTTTTGTGCTGCAAAATCTCTCCCAAGTTCACATTTTTTTAAGAAAAAGTTTAGGGAAAAAGCAGGAAGAAGTGAAACAGCAAGCAAGCAATGTTCCACAAAAGTTTACATTAACATATACAAGCAGTTAGTCTTTAAGTTTCTTTTTTCCCCACTCTTGTTTTGTATTTCTTATTGAAATGCTTGTACAAACTAACGGGGCTGCAACTCCGAAAACTAGGAAGTGTAAAAATCAGTGTGCTTTCAGTAATAACAGAAATGGGCGGGTGGGAGAGAGAACAAATGATTGCTTGTTCATGATAAACAAGGAAAAATCCTGTGGCATCTTAAAGGCTAGCATTTATAGTTAGGTGTGTTACTAGAAATGTTGACTGTATATAGGATAAACATTGTTGAGTGTGGGGTTTTAGACAGGGAACTGAGAGCAGGGCTGACCCAGTCCTTGGTCAAAGTGAGGCAGATGCCTCAAGCGGGAATTAATGTAGTGAACTGGCCACTGCTGATTGAGTTCCAGCCAGAGCCATTGCTGCTCTCCATAGCTAAATACAGTGGTGCCCCGCATAACGAGCGATTCGTTTAACGACGAATCCGCATATCAATGTGTTTTGCGATCGCAAAAGCGATCGCATAACGATGTTTTAAACAGTTAAAAATCGCTTTGCGATGATCGGTAAGCTGTTTCGCTTACCAATTATCGCATAGCGATCTTTTTAGCACAGCTGATCGGCAGTTCCAAAATGGCCGCCAGGTTAAAAAAAATAGCCGCCCACAGTGTTTTCACGCCCTTTCCTCGCTTACCGGGCAGCGAAAATGGTGGCCGCATGGAGGATTTTTGCATAACAGTGAGTTTTTTCCCCATAGGAACGCATTAAACGTGTTTTAATGCGTTCCTATGGGGGTTTTTGCCCTGCATAGCAATAAATCCGTATAGCGACATTTTTTTCGGAACGGATTATCATCGCTATGCAGAGCACCACTGTATTTTCTAATTGCCGGGCTCTGAAAGCCTCTCAGAGCCAGGCATTGTCCATGCCTCAGCATGGATGCAGTTCATAAAAATGCCTGGCTCTTGGAGATCCTCCAATGCCAGTCATTAGAAAATAAGTTGTTCTGCAGAAAACAGTTGACTCTTGGTGTGCACTCCAGTGACATTACAAGCAAGAGAAGTGGAGGAGCACTAGACAAACAAGAAGTTTGTTGTTGTTTAGTTGTTAAGTCATGTCCGACTCTTCATGACTCCATGGACCAGAGCACACCAGGTCCTCCGTTCTTCCACTGCCTCTTGGAGTTTGGTCAAATTCATATTGGTAGCTTCGATGACACAGCCATCTCCTCCTCTGACATCCCCTTCTCCTCTTGCCTTCACACTTTCCCAACATCAGGGTCTTTTCCAGGGAGTCTTCTCTTCTCATGAGATGGCCACGTACTGGAGCCTCAGCTTCAGGATCTGTCCTTCCAGTGAGCACTCTTATTTTTAATGTTCCATCTGAAGCCTTTTTAAGTAGGTCTGTATTCATCTGCTGTTTTCTTAATTATTAAAACTCTATGCACATTTTTAAAGGCTGGATTTTAGAATGTTTAAATTAACTGAACAGGAAGCAACAAGGTGAGCAATATAGATTTTGCCAAGAACATTTCATCTGTTGAGATAATTTTGCAATTGCTGCTGTTTTACAATTTTTGATACTGAATTTTGTACGCTCAACAATATTTTATATAATTTTTACTTAATGTTTAAACTGTAACCTATGCTGCAATCATTCTACAACAATTACATTTACCTCACTGATTTTTATGTTGTGTCATGTATTTTTTTCTTGTATGTTTTCATTATGCTCATGAAGGCACACACATATCCATGGTTTGCTGTGATTTTCCATACATTTTTCTAGATATAGTTTTCCCTTCACCTGACTTTTGTCTTATTGGCCAGAATCTCATTTCAACCCAGTGGAGCATAACACTCTGCTGGCATAGGTGTGCTCAGTCGCCAATGCATTAGGGGAAGTCATAGAGAGCTTGTTTGGCACTAATTGGGCTTCTGCTTGTCCATGGAGGTACTGGATGATTCCTTATGCATGTTTCATAATTCTTGAACCACTCATACAAGGAATCACTGCACAAGCAGAATGATGAAAACATGGGTCACCATTTTCACCAGAAACAGTGCTGATGGACTTGACAACTGAAGATGCTGGAGGATTGTGGGAACAAACATTTGAGAACCCTTTTCCAGTTTATGAGAAAAACTCTTATTAATCCTGTAAGTTCAGAAGAGTTGTTGATGGTTAAAGTTGTCATTCGGAGTTTTCTTGACATTCCAGAAATAAATGTTGAATGCTTGAAAGACCCTGAGGAATCTAATCTAGCCTTGTGCAGAAAACCTGAAGAATCCTTCACATAACCCCATTATATTACAGAAAATAAATATATATGTGATTTTCAGATGCTCCTTCAGACTGTTCCTTGTGTCACTGCTGTGATGCAGTCTTATACATTTTAGCCATTTCAGCAACAATGGCATTTTAGCACCTTGTTAAGTAGAACTTTTTTCCTAACATTAACAACCCGCATACTTGTCAAATGCCTTATGTGTGGGCAAAAATACATCTACACAAAAATTTCTATCACCCTTTTATAGATTTTTAAAATAGATTCTTAAATCCAATTGTTCATCCTAACTACTACAGACCCAGTGGATCAGTGGACTCCAGTAAATCAACCCTTACGTATGTCCTATTGAACCAATGGGTCTAACTTTTGTAGGGTCTAAAATTTTTACATAGCCCCTATGCCTTCATTTTAAGATGGCCACATGCCACAGGGACATCAGAAGGTACCTTGTACTGAGTTAGCCAACAATTGTTAACAGTGATTTTCAGCACACTTCAAGGTTTCTTTAGCCTTACCCAGAGTTATTGGTGACTGAATCTGCAACCTTCTGCACACAAAGCATGTGCTTTAGCACTGAGTTATGACCCCTGCTTTACACAGGACAGTTCTCTATTTGAAAAACTTTCACACGGCAATCCTGCTTTGAGAGCGTCCTCTACTTGTCCACATCCAATTATAAGAACAATAGAGACTTTGAAGTTGCCCAACCAGTCAGTAACAGAACATCAAACTGAGAAGGCAGACTAAAACCAAGACTTCTATTCAAATAAAGGTAATTATTTCCAATGGTTGTTGTGGGTTTTTCGGGCTCTTTGGCCATGTTCTGAAGATTGTTCTTCCTAACGTTTTGCCAGTCTCTGTGGCCAGCATCTTCAGAGGACAGCACTCTGTGCTCTGGTGTAGTTGGCTTGGGAGTGGAGTGTTTATGGCTGTGAGATGGGCTTTTGTCTTTTTCTGTAGATGGGTGATTAGTGTGTCTTGTTGTGGGTGTACTGTTGTGATAAGAAGGAGAGATTATCTGTCACTGTGGTTGATGGGTATCATTAGCTGGTCTTTTGTGTGTAGTGATCCCCGGTCCTTGTGGCTGGGTAGAGTTCATTGACCTTTTGCACTCTGTATTTTTGAGAGCTGGGAGCCAAGTTTTGTTGAGTTTCAAACTTTCCTCTTTTTTGTTGAAGTTCTGCTGGCGCTTGTGGATTTCAATGGCTTCCTTGTGCAGTCTGATATAATGATTGCTGGTGTTGTCCAGTATTTCAGTGTTTTGAAATAGAATTTCATGTCCAATTTTAGGGCATGTTCAGCTACTGCAGATTTTTCTGGTTGTTTTAGTCTTCAGTGTCTCTCATGTTCTTTGATTCTGGTGTGGATGCTTTGTTTTGTGGTTCCAATATATCCCTGGCCACAACTGCAAGGTATCCGGTAT